GCCGTGTCTCGATTCTACCTGGACGTTGGCCACAGGTATATTTGGACTTGACTTGTATTGAGAGTCCAGTACAGCCCCAGCCTCAATGAACGTGTTCTTGCCTCGGGAGCTGTCAGCACCATGACTGCGAAGCGTTTGGAGCAGATGCTCATGACACGTTTGTCCGCGTCTCCGAAAAACCATATGCCTCGGCTTGGAATCGAGAACTACACCCGCAGTGAGCTTGGTTGGAATCACACTTACAAACAAAGGGCCGGCGAATCCATGAGAATATTACGTAACGGGAACACTCCGATCGTAACAGGAACTTGTAACAAGAACAGGCCAAGCCGACATGTTGAGGCGCTTCTAAAGTGTCAGGGCTTCATCAGGGTGTCGGGTTGAGGGTTTAGGGCTTTGGGGTTTAGGGTTTAGGGGTTTAGGGTTTATTGGGTTTAGGGTTTAGGGACTTTACTCTGGCGTCGAACACGTAAGCACACATGAACGTATCTGCAATCAGTTCAAACTTTCATGCATCAGTTTGAACTATCTTTGTCTATATTCCTATCTACTTCAGGCCTCTTTTGGAGGACAGGCTTGCGGTCCCCTATTTTGTGAGCACTGCTCCCCAAGCCTTGCTTGTTTCCGATGGCAGTTCCTGTTCTCGTGGTCTTTCGTGTTGCACTGGTCGCCTGGTGGCTGTGACCGCCACGTGTTTCCGTCACAGTATGCAACATCGGTTTCCGTCACTTCCCAAAGCGGTTCTCGTTACTCCCCGCACCCGCGAATCCATCCGTGTTGTTGCCACCCGGAAACACAACTGCCAGACCCAGTCTCTGTGGGCAAGGATTCATGCCGTGCAAGAGCGTTGATTGGCTCATGGGAAACTCCCCAACCGGCTTGACAAGGGATATGTTTTCCACTTCTGAGCTTGCCTCTGCTTAGGTTCAATCGGTTCAAGAAGCGACAAGAGGTATCCAAGCTCGATTGCTCTCTTTGCGATCCTGAAGTTCCCAAAATGCCAATGCGAGGCATTCAGAAAAGCTTTCCTCGATGTGCGGAAGAGCATAGAGGCCAGGCCACCAAGCTTTGAGCATGGCCAGGCCCTCTTCTGTTCATGTTGCTCAGACCTCAACGCCTTGCGGCAGGAAAATTTTGCTGAACAAGGCACTTTGGCTTTTGATGCCTACATCCACCTTCTCAAGGCTGGACTATTATCATGCTGATTCTGCACACTCGCACAGATGGCTGACGGGAGGCATTTGCGGCAAAAGTTCCCCGAAATGCCATCAGTGTTTACCAGGCCTGGCAAGAACGAGACAGGGGAAGCCTCTACATTGAAGTATCCTGTTCAGGCTACTTGCATTGGGCTCTTCACTCTTCAGATTGGCCACTTCAGACTAAGGCCCGCCGCCTCTTCACAGTGTGGACTGTGCTGCAGCAGCCGTTTGTGCAATCGCCAGGCAGAGCCTTTCGTTGGCACTTTGCTTTTTTGAAGGCTTTCTCAGATTCTGCTATCAGCACCTTGGCTACTGCAGTACTGCGCTGCCTCAACCTGAAGTGTCAGAATGTCCATCATGTGCTATCATGTGCTTGCTAGCGTGAAGGTTCTATTTGGTCTGTCCGGCTCTTTTGACTTTCCGAGTGTGGAAAATCAACGGCCCCTCTTTCAGACGTTTCACTTGACATTGAGCCAGGACACGGATACGCCAGTTGTTTTGGGTGATACAGCATTGGGATATCGTCGGGCTGGCCTGTTGACTGGGTGCCCACTTCATCGTAGCAGGGCATCCATGCATTGCAGGGCGTCAAGCGATTGACTTGAGTTGCGGAAGGCGCACTCAGATAACGTCAAGACTTGTCTCACCCCAAGACTCCAAGTCACCCTTTTTGCGGAGGCTCCTTCCGCGAATAAGCACGAGCTGGAGGAGCGAGCTCTACTTCCGCAACCTCGAGGCGGAAAAAGAGCAGGCTGGTAAATGCCCATTACGACTGCCGCAGCTGCAGGAACGGCAGCTGTCGACCCGGCCAGACGAGTGGATGAATGCCGCACAGCAGCATTCCTTGATGCCAGCCATGCGCCTCGTGACCTGCGCCGTTCCTTTCGGCTCTGATCGCTGAGGTGACCCACAGTCTCGACCCTCAGCAGGTGTCCAAGGAAGCCTTGGGCCTCCTGAAAAGGCCAGGCCCCGTTGCGGCCATGGTGGCCCAGCGAGTAGCCATGTGTAGCCATGCGTAGCAATGCACATGTCGTTTTCTAGAGCTTTCGGATTCAGTTTCTTTTGTCCTCTGGTCCTCCAGTGCTGTGACACTGGTCCTGTAGACCCCTCGTCTTCCTGTTTTCCAGTCTTCATAAAGTAGTGTGTATACGTGATATATATATATATATGTATATGTGTATCAATGTATGTGTGTATATATATATATATATATATGCATAGCATGTTGCCCCAGAGTGCAGAAGTCCCCCAACGGCTCATGGCGGTTACATGTGCTGACTTCTCACCGTAACAAGGATGTACAGACACCGATGCAAGTAACGACAGTGCGGCATTCGAAACTCCCACTCCAGAGTCTTGCCTAATGAAAAACTCTGAGTCCAGTAGTAAGGTGCAAGTCGCCACTGTTTGCGCTTCAAGCATGCTGTGCCAGGGCCTTCGTCTGTGACGATCCGGCCGGCAAGGGTTCAAAGCTCAGAGAAGCTACGGCATCTGCAGCACTTGCCGCCTCTCAGCCCCTCGCTCTGAGGACTGTCATCGCTCGAAGCAGCTTGGGGCGACGCAAGCACATGATGTGAACAGGTGGGCGAGAGATGCTGTTGCGACGGGGCTAGATGTGGGGTCGCAAAGGATCCAGACCCAACTCCATCAGTTCCAGCTGATGGTCGGAATTAAAAGGTACTGGCCTCAGTCCACTTTTACTTTGTCGGGAGATGTCACGATTCTCAAAGGCACCGGCTGGCAGATGGTGAGCCTGCAATTTGGAACAACCCAAGCCGGCGCTTAAAGCCCAAAGCCCTAGGTGGGCATTCATGGGCCCAATCCTGATTGGCAACTGCGGCTGATGTTCCAAAGGAGCGGCGGACAACCATCCTCCCTTTGCCTACAGACTTCTAGAACCAGGATTTCCTAAATGCACCGTGCGCTTCCCAAACCTCTGTCAACAGCAAGCATCGAATTCTTGATTTGAACCTTCGGAGTCATGAGCGTTGTGACGAGGCTTGGTGTGAGTTGCGAAAAGCTGCACAGCCAGGCTGCCCCAAAAACGAGAGGCTGCTAATTGCTGGGCGAATCAGGCTCAGAAGGCTCAGCCAAAGCTTCTAGCATGTAGAGGTTAGGACCCGTTATCGTTGCGGTCCGATATGAACGCGCTTTCGGCAGAGCTGTCACCGTTGCATTGCGGCGCTGCAGTGCGCTGAGAACGCCGAAGCTCGAAGGTGAGTGCTCCCAAAAGCAAGTGCCCTCCACAAATGCCAAGACGTGCACACCGTAACCAGTTGGCATTCAAAACTCTCGAGCTGCTGAGATGATTGAGATGCATGTGCTGTTATTGTGTTTAGGATTTTTGCAACCAATACAGGTTTCAACAGTAGAGAACACGGTCTGGCTCGTGTATCCATCTGCAACCTGAGAGTAGCATGTGGCTTAACTCGCATTTAGCAGTTCAGTTGTAGTCCGAGATCAGCTGTATCCGTATAGACGACCGGCAGCTTCGCGGAGGAGTACTTTTATGTTTCACCCGCTGCCGTTACCGTGACGCTGGCCACACAAGTCCTGCCTTGTTGCAAGTGGAAGCGCCACGGAGGGTGCGTCTTAGGCGTGAACCCTCGTCGTCGTGCAATGCATCAAATTCGGTGCTGCACCTCAGCCACGAAGTGCATTTTCGCGAAGCCTTGGCAATTTTTGCTTGAAGGTAAACATGAAGGCGAGCATTGAGGTACGTGTCCAGGATCTGAATCGGGCTGGGTTTGGCCAGGCCCTGCACGATTCAGCATGCACCTTCCAATTACGTGGATGAGGGAACATGCACAGCCGTAGTCGCATACATCAGACTGCTGACAAGAGCTGTACAGGGTCTCATGTAAGGCAGGTGAGAAGCAGCATTTGTGTGTGTGCGTATGTGGAATTTGGCAAAGCTTGACTGTCGGGTTTTTCTGCTGGGTGAGGCGTGCATGCATGTTAGATGAGGACTTGTCGTCGAGCTGCAGAGCTCTGGCGAGAAGCTGTTCCTAAAGCCAAGGGCAAGGATGCGAGATCGTCAGCAGTGTGAGATGTGCGAGCATCACTTCTGGCCCTGATTTCTCCGTGTTCGCACCAGGCTTTCAGCATCGAAGTTTAGTGAAACGGCTCGTAGTAGTGCATTAACATGACGAAAGAAAGTTTGGACCTCGTGGATTTTAGATGGGTGCTTTTGGAACACCTACTTGCGTAGGACCCCAGAGGATTCGAAGTCGGCGACCTGGATGCAAAAATGCATGCCGCGTATCCGTGAAGCTCTGGTTCATTTACCCATGCAGCATGCTGGGAGCAGCAGTATGGCTTTGCTGATCCAGTACAGCTAGAGTTCTCGCTTGGTCGATGTGCCGTTTGCAGTTGGAGCTTTGGCTGGCGGGGGGGGATGGAAGGAGACAGGCTGGGAGCTTGCCAGTGGGTGCCCGAGCTTTGACGTCGTCTTCTGTGTGTGCATGCACAACCCGTGCAGCACTTGCTGGTGCCGAGGGTCTGGACAAAGTCGAACATTATGGCTGACAAGGCACTGGAGTCCATTGCTTCCTGCAGGTGTTCATCCCTCTGTATTGATGGTCGTGTGTTCCTTTCGCTTGAAAATTAAGTATCATAAGATTATTTGCCGCGTCGTCCCCGCAGCGCCCCTGGCTTGAAAAAGCCTTGGAGTGCTAATTGGGGGGAAGTCGTTGACTTCTGTGTGCTTGTTGGCGCGGGCCCAGACAGACTCTGCAGGAAGCCGGGTCATTGCACGATGGCACTGAGGCCTCGTGAAGGGCCAGACAAGCAGTGAGGAACATGGAGGCCATCGGTGGTGTTGCTTCATGACATACTGCGATGGCTCTAAATCTAAACCTTGTTGCCTCTGGAGTGCCTTCGTGCTAGATGTCTCATTGGCACTTGCCGGTCTTGTAGCTGCAGGTTTTCCACGAGTATGTCGCGGTTGTGAAGGCCAGTTTTGGGGTAATGCTGGCAGTTTTTTGGTGCCGACCGATCGGAGGACTATGCCTTTCCAATTGCCGGCATGTTGCTAGGTGAAAGCCTTAAATCTGCTTGTCCTTAGCTGCTTTGGCGGATCTAGCTCTTGCGTTCGAAGTTGCCTGGTGCTAAGTCCTGTACCCTGCTGCTTTGATGGCCGGTAGCCCGGCAAAGCGCTGATGCTGCATGTTGTGTTTCGGCGGCATGGCACAGTGGTCCTTGAAGGCCTGGACAATCGTTGAGGGTACCAACTCGAAGAAGGAAGCAGTCGTGACCCGTTGTGCCTACTTGTTGGTTCCATGTCAGTGCATCGCAGGAGCGAGATGATGCCTGCCAGGAGCAGGTTGGCGCTTGCCCCAGCCATCTCGGGTTTTGCAAGGGCAGCCTCGGCCGGCTCTCGGCGCTCAGGAAAGCTCAAGGAAGAGTTCCAGAAGCCGCAGAAGCTCGAAAAGACCCGGGAAGGAGCCGAGCTCGGGAAGATTTCGGGAAGAGAAACACCAAGCATAAGCACATCCCGACGAGACTTCGCCGCTTCGCGATTGCTGCTTCGCTCTGCTTCTCTTGTGCTGCGCGCGAGGAGTCACCTGGACTCATGCAGCCAAGTGTTTCAAGAGGCGAAACAGCAGCCTGGTCACTGTCTGCACCCCAGAGTCACAAGCCACCCTGCGGCGCACACTCGAGAATCCAAGTTTGAGCAGTGATGACCATGGTCTACGAGTGTCAATTGCTTGGGTCTTCCTGAGAGGGTGCCACTGGTCCGAGGGTATTGCAGTCGTCTTCGCCCTTGTGGCATCCAGACAATTAATTTCTTGCTTCGCAAGTCCGACTTGTTTGTCCGGAATTACAGTCTGGACATCTGCTGTGTGAGCTCACATGCCAGGTCTCCATGCCGGTGATGAAACCCGCTCCGCCTCAGATGGGACAGGACGCGTTGCTCGCCCGCTTGGGCGAGCTTGCAGCTCTAAAGGCTGCAGGCCTTGCACATGTGGCGCAGGAGGGACACCCTCATCTGGGCACAGCCTGGCTTGCGATGGACTGCAAGCCCATCGTAGCAGACTGCGGCCCAGCCGATGCCAGTCTCGAGTGTTTCTTTTCCTCAGACGCCTTTCTGTTTTATGCCCTCGGTTGAAATGATGTGCTCTCAGGCCTTTTCTGCCGCAGCTGCCGTACATGCCCAAAAGCAAATTGAAGCGTCTGCATGTTCGAGTTAATCAACGATGTTCCTTGAGCATCAGCTTTCGCTTTGAGGCCGGCCTGGCTATTAGGCGGCTCTCTCTTCCGCGTGCGGCACAAAGACTGTTACGCGGTTGTCAAACCAGGGGCCATCTGTTCTTTCCCAGGTCCGTGCCAGGCATGGGCGCTTGGTCAGCGAGGCACAGCATCGTCCACGCTGTTGCAATACTGGCTAACGAAGCTCACGCAGCCATCATCCGTTCCGTGAGTCTGAGTTGTTGGATTGGGTTTGTTCGGTGTCTGGCCGTAGCTTCGCTCGCTCTCGGAGCTAGTGACAGCTAGCAGCTAGTGTCAAGAACATGTGTCATGGTCTGCTGTCCGAATCGTTCTGCCGCCAAGCGTGCGCCCACCCGAGTGCTCGGTGAGTTAGTCTTCTATATAAGTTCTATCACGTATCTGAAATGTGGGAAGTTCCAAATCTAGCCAAGTGCTTCGCTCCCGTCGCAGGTCGCGCCACCCAGCGCTGTGCGACCTTCGCAAAGTCAACAGACGTGATGGCCTTGGACCTTGGGATAAGGACCAGACAGTTCTTGAGCTCGGGCTCAGCTGGTGAACGCGAAGCCGTGGTCAAGATCAGTATCAAGACCCCATCCCGTGTCGGAAGAGCAAGGCTTGGCGCTCGAAGAGTTCTAAGGCATTGTGTTGACAGTTGCAGAAACCTAAGTTACCATGATGGTCGCTGCTTCACCCCATTCAGTGACGCCACTAGACGGAACAGGCAGAGAATAGGTGAGCCGACACTGCGCTCAGTGCCCAAGGGGCTGCTAGCCTGAAGGTGCAAACCAAGAGCTTGAGGACGGCCCAGATGGAACGTTCACACTCAGTCAGACGGATGGGAGATTTTATGACCAGGCGAATTTTAGTAGTTACGTCTCACCATCTTAGCTTTACCCAGCTTAGACTAGGAAGGGAGGGACTCTGGCAGACTTTGCGCCTGAGGTTACCCAGCCGTGCTTGTTCGATCGACAACTTTCGGGGCCGTGCCTTGGCAAGAAAACATGGGCTTGGCCAGGCTTCCACTGCGACTCTCGCCAGGTGGACCGCAGCAGAAGCACCAAAAGCGCCTGAGGCGTCCTGTAGCTGATAAAATTCCAAGGTTGTCATGGTCTGGTTTTGCAGGAGACCCACAGCAGCCCCGACGATCAGCCATCTCTGTGGCACGATGTCGACCTTTATGCTCGTGGCTTAGATAAGACCGGGTCAAGAGGAGATGAGTCCGAGCCTTTGTCCTTCGCCAAGGTAAAGTCGTGGCTGGATGAGCCCACCTCACTCCTGCGTTACGTGATCATCCGAGGTGTAGCTGTCTTTCAGACTCCCGGGCGTCGTATTCGAGGTTGGGCCGTCGATGCCGAGCAACAGCTGAGGTCAACGAAATGCCGATGGGCACGCTCCGAAAGTATGAGGTACAGCCGAGCACTCAAGCTAAATCATGATTCTCCGCCAGATTTGGGCGGTGGACCTACTTAGGCCCGATGCTCCAAACAACGTGATTGAGGAGGCATCTGGTACGATGGTTCTGGGAAGAAGGTGCGGCTTTCACATCTGTCTGCGCCAGGATGTCAAGGGCTCCAAGAAACTGGCGGCTTTCGGCCGTAGTCCAAGAAGTATAGTGCGCCAGTGCTCGGAATTCGCTTGAGTGATTGTCTGGTGCTGAGGGAAGCCGGTCCCCTTCAACTACGGCTGCTTCCCGCAGACGTATCGGGATCCAGAGAAGGCCAACAAACACAGAAGTGCACATTGAGTACATTTTTTTTGGCTTCTCCTCTTGGGCCTTGGGCTTGACCAGGCTGACGAGCTCTACCAGGCTCCAGGCGATGATGATCCGTTGGATGTGTCCGGTCCCTACTACTGAACGGTCCCGCTGGGCACTTGGTCGAGGGTTGAGACATCCCATCGGTTGCAGGATTGACCTCTCTGACACTCCAACAGAGGCCGGAAAGCTCAGAAATGCTCAAAAGCTGAACTCGTTTTGGTCACGGGGACTGGATGGGACTGGTCAGGTTGGCACGGTTGTCCGCTGCCGTGTTCTCGGTGCCGTCTGCCTGATCGATGAAGGTCCTCTCATCCGCACAGAGGCATTGCACATGGATTGGCAGACACTCGTAGATGGCAGGCCAGGCAGATTGGAAGGTGATGGTTGTGAACGTGGACTCGTCGTCTTCCCAGCCAGCTGCTATTCAGACACCAGTTTCAAAGGCCTTCGTTCCTGAGGAAGAGTGCTCTCGCCAATGCCTACACTATTGAGGACGTAGAACGCATTTCGCCAAATGCTCAGGAAGATGGCCTTAGTTTGGCAGCCTCGCGGCCTAGCAGCATGTCGGCCTTAAGTCGACACGCAGGCCCGGGCGCATCCAGTCTTGCTGGACCTGGATGGATGAGCTTCTCGCTCGGCATGTCAGAGAACTCCCCTGAAAGTCGAAGTTCCGTAGAGCAGCCCCTGCCTGGCCGGGCACCCTCAAAGCCGTTGCGGACCGCATTTTCATGCTCCTCACAAGAAATCAAACTGGTCGGATGTCGGTGATCGAAGCACGTGAGTCGACCTGACCGCAAGTTTGTCGCCAGGACTAATTTCAGAAGATGTGTTGGTGCAGAAGGAGATGTCCACTGGCTTTCGTGTTGATGCTCAGGCTCAAGAGTGGTGGTGGCAAAGGGAATGCCAAACTTCATCGTGAAATTCACGACGCCAACCGCTTCGCACTTACAGTGACGACAGTCGACGTCCACTTTGGGAGCGGGGCTTCTGCTCAGGAGCGTTGAAGTTGATTGCCCAGGCGGGGTGTGCCAGTGTGCCATGGCCATGTCAGTCCAAACCACGCTGAGAATGCTCGGACTCAGAGGACCACGACTCCTGGAAGAAACTTGTGAGCTCTGCCGGACCTGATGGCACTGCCCGCCTGTGTCTTAAATCATCACGCAGACGCAGGTACCACAGCTTGTGTTGTTTACTGTAAGGTGGTCATTGGATTTGCTCGCCTCAAAGCGAAGCTGAGACGAGAGCCCAGGCCTTCAGAGACTTTGCTCCAGGTCCATGTCAATGGGGAAGGGCGAGAACGGCAATTTGTTTGCAGGTCTTGAAGCTTGGATGGGCACCGCCCTGTGTTGCAGATGCCCCAGCAGGAAGTGTGCATCGAGGCTTAAGAAAAGCCGCTGCAGCCTTGCAGGTGCCCGGACAACAGGTGCGCTCTCCCTGCATGCTGGCCGGAGCGGCGCGCGCACGGCCCCGAGATGTGAAAAGAGACTTTTTCAGGAGCACCTGAGCACCGGAGCACCTGGTGCTGTGCCGAAAAGAGATTGAGGTGTCTGTGCTCGCCAGGGCGGCTCGAGCTGTTCAGCTGGCGCGCACGCAGTGAAGCCCATTGGGCCTCGGCCCGCCGGCTTTGACAGGTCCAGGTCGGGGCCTATGGTGGGCCCCGCCCCCTTGGATCATTGCACGCAGCTTCGAGGCGATCGTTCCAACAGAGTCCTTGGGCTCGAATTCTGATTGCTGTGCATAACATCTGCTGAAACCGAAGTATTTCTGCAGAATGCAGAGACGTCCCCATATCAATTGCGAAGTATTCCTGCAATCGCGCAGACTTCGAAACTGTTACTGCGCTGCTCGGCGAGAGCTGACCGGCAATTGACATGGGCAGCATCTGCTACAGCATTTTCCAGTTCCTGCCACATGTAAGGCATTCGGCAAAGCTGCACGCAAGGAAATGCTAATGCTGAATTCTTGAAGTCCGTGAGCGCCCTCTTCATTTCAAGAACTACTGTCACTAGCTCAAGGGCTTGGGTGTGAGATACTGTGAGACCCGTGGATACCTACGGATCTTGTCTTGCCAAACCAGGCAGCGTCTTGAAACGCAGGCAGAGAGGGCCTGCGCTTCATCTCCATTCAAATGTTTCCGATGAGCGACTTTTGTCAGGGTAGCCATAGGGAATATGCGGGCTGTCCCATTTGCACCCGTCCTTTTTGAAGCTGCCTTTACTTGGGCAAGCTCAAGACCCCCCAGTGTGGCAACATATTCTTTTTTCTCACTAAACAGCCGAACCGTGACTTCACCGAGTAGTCTCCATCGATACACTTTGTGTGCTCGGTCTTCATCGAAGCGTGGGGACTTGACGAACAGTTGCGAAATCTGTCGGATTGTCGCACTTGCCACTTGCCACCGCAATGCCAAAATGCCGCACGAAACAGCATGCAGCTTGCTTTGAGTGGGGCTGCCCTTCCAGTCCTGAAGAGCGGACTGCTTTCTGCAGGGGAGCGCTTCCGTCAGCCCTCTGGAGCCAGGTAGGGGGGGGACACCCTAGGTGGATGGTTGAGCCATGAGCTGCATATTGTGCAGGACCCTGCAAGCTTTTCGTTGGCGGCATCTCCGCGCAGACGTGCACCGAGGCTCCACGGCAGGGGAATATGGCAGTGACAAGAGCGCTTTTGAATTCTAAGTCTCATTGCACGTCCTACACTGCGATTTCTGTCTCCCCAGAACGCTTAGCTGTGGTAGCGCCAGGCACTTCAATCCCACTTCGCCAAGTACGGGCATGTCATCGATGCTGTGCTGGCCTTGGGTCTTGGGCGCTTTTCTCGAGTCGCTGAGGGCTAGATTTGAAACAGTTAGAGACAGTTAGAGTAAACTAGGTTCTGTTCTACCCGAGACTCACCAGAACTGCGAGGTGGTCATGTCCAGAGATGGCAAAGCCCGAGGCAATCTACGGGTGTTTTTGTTGGCGTAGGCAGCGAATGAAGTCTGTACCAAGTTACTCAGGCAGCTGCTGGCCCCCTCACGAAACTGCTGTTGAACCACAGCAAAACAGCCACGGTTTCTCGACGGGTCGTATTGTGTTAATCGGAGGGCTCGCAACGGCAAGTCGTAACTGTACCGCAGCCGTTCGACTTAGGCGCATCCGTTCCGCAATCTGACGGTGTGCTAGCCTTTTCTTTAGTCTGTCACGGCTTGATGTCTTCTTCTTCTGACTCGTCCCGCTCCCGTCCTCGCCGACGGCGTAGGGCCCGGCGGTCCTCGAGTACATCATCCTCATCTTCGAGGCTGTTTTTTCTGTTTAACTTTGCTGCCTCTTGACCCTTTCCGTCAGGCGGCCCCGGTCCCGCCTCTCCGCCAGGAGGCCGACCCCGCCGTTTTCCACTTCCCGCCTTGGCCCATATCTGGCTAAGGTCCTTCGGTGCTCAGCTCCGTTCCATCATGTATGGTCCCCAGCTGCATGCACCGCATTTGTTAGCTTCTCGTTGGCTCTTCTCAGGCCTGACCCGGCTTCTGGTCCGCCGGTCTCGCCCCCGAAGGCCGGCTTGCAGCTATTTCCGGTCCTGCTTTAGTTCTGGCTAGTTGTCTCGCCGTGCTCGAGCTACCCCTGCCTCCTGCCGCAGCCGCTTTTAGCTTCTAACGCTTTCTGCCTTCTCTGCCTTTCGCCCTTGCTAATCATGGCCCGCTTTGGTGGACACGCTCTCCGCGACTTGGCCCGCGGTGTGGTGGGAGCTGCTGTTGGCATCCGGTCCGACGTCGACCCGACTCCGGCCGATGTCGAGGCCCAGGCCGTCCCAACGGAGACCCCGGCACAGGACACTACCGTGGCTCCGGACCCGGCCCCCTCCGTGGATCCACCTGCCACCCCGTCCCAGCCCCCGGCCAAGCGTGGTGCCGATTTTCTCGCGCCCCAAAAGCAGCCTCCCAGCCACCCCCCTACGACTGGTGGCCTGCCCGCTGCTCCCGCCGGACCCCCTAAGAAGAAAGCCAGCTTTCCTCCGGCCCGGCCTTCCACCCCCTCTTTCCCCCCCGCCAAGCCGGCGGCTGCTCCATCCGAAGCGGCTCCCAAGGCTCCTGCGGCAACTGCCAAGGCCGCTCCGCCGCCCCTCGAGATGGACCTGTCCGTTCTTTGCACTCTGGACGATGATGCCATCTACCGGTCCCTGGCCGACTTGCCACCGTCTCAGGTGACTCGACTTCTTTGTTTGATCGCGGAGGTCGCCCAGGACGTCACCTATGCCATGGGCAACCTGGGCCAGCTTGACGTCGAGGTTCCGGTCGCGCACATGTCCCAGACCGGCCCGCCTCCGAACCGAGGACGCTACCCGCAGACTACACGTGGTGACCTCGCACCGGTGCCGGCCGGTCCGCGCTTCCCGGACCAACAGGCAGCCGACGCCATCCATGCCGGTCTGGACCAGAACGACGGCACCAGGCCCGCCGATGGCAACTCGGCCCAGCCGTGGCCTCCGTGTCCTGCCCGGTTTCGCCCGCCCGCGCCAGGCCCTCCTTACGGACACATCGGCCATCGACCCGAATGCGCCCCTGGTCCACTCTGATCCCAACCGCCCCGGCTGCACTCCGGTCTTTGTGGATCGGGGCCAACTCACCCCGCGCCGGGCCAATACCGGCCCCTCAGCGAAGGCTGGGAGCGCCTGAGCATTTTCCTGCCCGAGACGCCCGGCCCGTTCATCCGCACGGACTCCTGGCCCTGGCCCGACCTCTTTTGCTTTGAGGAGCAGGACTTGCCAAGCTGGGCTCCTCTTCAGGAGCCACCTGCACATTCGCGGCTACTGCTCGCATGATTGTCCGGCCCGGGGCCCGCATTGCCTCCGCATTTGCCTCCGGCCCGTGATGTTGCATTCCCGGACCGATCACACCGGGCACAAATGCCCTTACTGTATCCAGGACGGGTACTAGGCACCTGATCCGGACCGCCCCGCGTTCCCCGTGTTTTTTTTTTATGGCCCATATTGCAACTAGTCTCCTAAGATCATTGTGTTGGGGTGGTCAGCTAGGCCCGGTGCTGTGCACTTTTCTGCTTCTCGCGGCCGGCCTGATCCGGCCCTGCTGCGGCGATGCCTAAAAAGTTGTGGTTCCCCGCCTTGCTGCACCTGCCTGCTGCTTTCAGAGACATGTTGCTTTTGTTTTTTCCTGCCGCCAGGCCAACATCGAGCTGGAGACCATCGAGGATGCGCCGGTCTCTTTCTTGCGCGTTGTTCCGCTACTTGTTGCTTACCCTGCCCGGCCAGGTACCTGTGCATCCGCCGGTGGCCCCTGCGGGCAACCCGGCCTTGGCATCTGACCTTGGTTCCTTGCTTCACGGCTTTCCTTTGCAGCCCTCCGCTGCCGCTCCTCTGATCACACCGCCCCGCCCGCAGCGGTTGGATTTTTTGGGCGACACCCCCCCGCGTCAATGCGATTCTCCGGCCTCGGCCCCTGGGCCCTCGGCACCGCCTCATTCCAGCCCTTCTTCGGCATCCTCTACATCCTTTCAGGTCGTGCCGGTCCCTACTGCTGACCCGGTCGGTCCTCCCTTACCTGGACTTGCATCCTTGCTTGTGCCTCGCCTTGGGCTGGCCTTGCCCTGCCTGTCCCGTGCCTCTTTGTCAGACCTGGCCTCGGCCTGCCCCCTTTCCCTTGTTCCGGCCTCTTCGCTGCCCCGGCTTTGCGTCCTGCACGTTCGGCTCCTACGTTTCCATTGGGCCCACCACTTCTGTCCTGCCCCCGGGTGCCTCGCCTGCCCCGTGACCCATTGGCGTACCCCCGGGGTCTTTCTGCCTCATCTCCGGATACGCGGCCCTCTGTGATTCCCCCGGCGCCCTTCGTGCATTCTGGCTTTTTGCCACTGGCTACTGATGCCTCCGATTCCTCCTCTATGGAATCCACAACTGCTCGCGCCTTGGCACATTTCCGCAACATGTTTTGCGACTTTGTTCAGGAGCTTGGCGACCGCTGCACCCTGTTTTTGCATACCAAGCTGGTACCCGCGCCTCGGGAACTCCAAGCACGTGCCATCGCGAAAAATGCCCCCAGCACTTTGCAGCTTTACTTGCGTTCCTGGTCTGCCTGGGTCCGGCACTGTATCCTTTCTGGGATTGATCCTGCTGACCCGCCGCCCGGTGCACTCCCGTCCTGGCTTCAGTTGACTTCCGCCCCTTCTGGCCTCTCTACCACCAGTTTCAAGGCCTTGAGTTGGATGGCCAAGGTGGCGGGTTTGCCCTCTATACAGGTACAGTTGCACACTCCGCTCTGCTCCGCGTTTCTCTCCTCGACCGGCCCAGTGGAAAAGCGTGAAGCATTGCCTCTTTCCGTGTCCTTTGTCGTCTGGCTTGAACGGTCCGTCATGGATCCCACGACTCTGCTTGCCGAGGTCCTGCTTCGGGGGTCGGTCCTGTGCCTGATTTGGTCGTCTCTTCGTTGGAATGACGGCCTTTGGTCTCCCCCGTCCCGGGTGATACTGCAATCCGGCTCCACTGCCCTGACCGGTGTCGCCACCCGCACTAAAAGCTGCCGGGCCAACATGCCGTGGGGTTGCCAGCTCTACGGGTTGACGGGCTCGCCGTCCGCTTGTTGGGGCATATCCTGGCTTAACGCCCTTCAGCAGTGCCTGTCCTACACCAAACGCATGTTCCCTGACCGCACGGTGGATTTCTTGCTTCCGGTCCTCGGGCCTGACCCTGCCTCTCCGGTGTTTGTCTCTCCTTTGCACCGGTCCCGCGCCATGCCCTTTCTCCGGCCCCTCCTGCAACAACACTGGCACCTGCACTCCCCCGAGGCCTGCCCGCCTGAGCACTCCATGTATGGGGTTCACAGCTGCAAGGCCACTGTCCTATCCTGGGCCAGGCAGCTTAACCTTGACCCTGAGCTTCGCCGTCTGCAAGGCCATCACCGTCCGTCCTCCATGGAAGGCTCCGTTCGGGTCTATAGCCGAGACGATATAGGCCCAATGTTATCGTTGCAGGCTGAGGTCATTAACCGAATCCGGTCCGGTTACCGCCCCCTTCAGCCAGTCGGCCGCGGTTCTAGCAAACCATTGCCTGACTTTCGGGTGTCCTTGCCGCCACCTGATAGCAACATGGGTGGCATGGCACCTCGGGAACGCTCTGGCCGATCGCGCTCCCCCCGGCGCCGTCCGGAGTCGGATGAAGAGGAAGTGGAAAGCACTGACCTCTCCGATGACAGCTCCGACTCCGAACAATCCGGGGCCTCGGGCTCCGATGATGACTTTGCCAAGCCTCGGCCCCCTCGCTCCCAACAGCGAGAGCCCAGCATGAATGGATTTCTGCATAACCCTCGCAGCAACGTCTTGCACCGTCCCGTTCCGTGCCCGCCCGACACTGCAAAGTCCGTACGCGTGTCTCTGCTGGGCCTGGAACCATTTTGGGTGAAACCGGTCTGTGGGGCCTCTGTTGGTCAGCTCTGCTCTGAGGCATGGTGCTCCGCCCCGCCTGCGGGTGCCCAGCTCTGCCTCCGCCGTGCCTGCCAGACCTGATGTCCCGCCCCGCTGTGAAGAAAATGCATACGCCTGTGCCTGCTCGTGCCAGTACCATGCGCCTGTGCTCACACTTGCTTGCACTGTCTTTCTTCCGCAGCCGTTTTCTATTTCAGCCAGCCCCGCCCCAACCCCCCTCTATTGTCGCCATCTTCCGCCATGGCTTCTGATGGTTATCCGTCGGCTGGGCCTGGGGACCGTCCGGTTCGAGCGGCCTGGGAGACAGCAAACACGCGGGCCTGGGCGGCTTCGTGGCCTTTCCCTCCGGCCGCACGGTATGGTTCCGCTCCGCCTTATCGCCTGCGGAGCTTGCTGGACTTTGTGCTTGGTATTCTCCTGACATTTCCCCTCAGAAATTCATTGCTGCCTGGGAACTCCTTGGCCAAATCGCGCTTCTGTGGTGCGTTGCCCTCGTTGTCCCGGCCGCTCACCACCCTGTTCACTTCGTCAGCCGCTGTGACAACAGCCCTTCCGAATCGGCCTCCTGGAAAGGCCTTTCTACTGCCCGCGGTATGTGTGACCTCTTGCACTCCTACCTGTTATGGCAGCGTCATTTCTGCATTTCCGCACATATCGACCATGTTCCGGGGTTCCGTAACAAAATTGCTGACGCCCTGAGCCGGTCCCGCGACCCGGGCACCTTGGGACTCAATCCTGCCGATGAGATCCTGGTCCCTTGGCATCTGTTGAGCCGTCCTCCGCGCCCGTGTTACTCTCCTGCGTCCGCCTTCAACCGTGACCTCTTCCCGGCATTGGACTTCTGACTTTGGCGGTTTTCTCCCCGGTGCGGGTACTCCTGTGCCTGGATTTCGTTCTAGACCTTGGCCTCAGAAAACCTGCAAAGTCCATTTTGGCACCCGGTTCCGACGGTTCCTGTCCTGACCGGTGCCCGTACCGATCCGTAGCAGCATCCTTTGGACTTGTGTCCGGCCCGAGGCTCTGACACAGATCCAGACCGCTACGGTTTCAGCCATCCGGAAAAAGGAGTCCGTCTGCATTTTTCCGTGCATGCACACCGATCGTAACGGACTAGTGCCCTCCGAATAACGGTTTCTCGACGGGTCGTATTGTGTTAATCGGAGGGCTCGCAACGGCAAGTCGTAACTGTACCGCAGCCGTTCGACTTAGGCGCATCCGTTCCGCAATCTGACGGTGTGCTAGCCTTTTCTTTCCCGCCACCTCCCCTTTGTTCTCCGCCTTGGATTTAGGCCCTTTAATCCGCAGCTTTCAGCCTGGATTTCCGATGTGGGTTGGACTTTGCCCTTTCCTGCACGCCGTAGGCCGGCCTCAGAAAACCTGCAAAGTCCATTTTGGCACCCGGTTCCGACGGTTCCTGTCCTGACCGGTGCCCGTACCGATCCGTAGCAGCATCCTTTGGACTTGTGTCCGGCCCGAGGCTCTGACACAGATCCAGACCGCTACGGTTTCAGCCATCCGGAAAAAGGAGTCCGTCTGCATTTTTCCGTGCATGCACACCGATCGTAACGGACTAGTGCCCTCCGAATAACAAGCAGAGTAAGTCCAAGTGATCTCTGCAGGCCGAATGTGATGCGTCCATGGTCCGTGCAGCAACATTGAATATCTTTGAATGAGCAGTCGCAGAAGAGCGGAACTGTGTGACTGCGTGTGACGGGGACAGATTCAATACTGCCTACTGTATGGCAGCTTGACCTCACTTGCAGCATGCGGGGGCTATCCCCCTCTGGGAGGCTTCGGCTTCGTGACCTTCAACTCGGTAGTGGCAGCTGCGCCTTGGAGCAGATGGTTAGGGCCTATAGGGCCTATAGTGGTTGACTTCTTTCGCGTTGATGCCCCTTGGGAGCTGTGTTGGCTGTAGGTTGTTGGTTCCTGGGCGTTCTTCAGCATCTGCTTCCAAGGCGAATGCGCTTTCGGAGCCGCAGTGGCTGGATGGGCGACTCGTAGATGTGTGCAGCTCACACAGACCGAATGCTCCATAGTAGTCAGGCCGACTTTCCGTACACATCCGAACAGGTGAAACGAGCAGTACCAGGAGAGCGCGTCCAGGACAGAACGCGAAATATCCTCGAATGCCTGGCCACTTGCCAGCACTGCAGCCACAAAGGAGAGAAGCTCAAACAAGATCTTCATTGGTGGTCTTCCGCAGGACAGGCATGGGGCTACTTCGGCGAAGTGACTAGCCTTTCTGCGCTTGGAGAGCTTTCTGATTGCCAACAGGATGTCACAACCGAAGCTCTGCGTGAGTACTTCAGCGCGTATGGTTCCGTAGCGGATGCTGCTGCTTGGCCGTGTTCATTTGAGTTTCGGACACTTCATTTGCTGAGCTGCAAGGTCGCCAAGCACTTGTGCGCGTTGATCTGTGTGGCTGAGGTTGTCATGGTTGACCGTCGGACCCGACGTTCTCGTGGGTTTGGCTTCGTGCGCTTTGCCAACGGCCCTCAAGGGGCGCAAGCAGCACAGGTCAGAACATAGCGTGCATTGGAGCCAGTGAGGGGGGGCAGAGCAGAGTGCTGTGCAGGCAGTGCTTATGGACTTTTCCGATCACTGGCTCGGAGGCTCCTTCACACTCAAACGGTCTCTGGGCCCGCCGCCCTGCCGCCCTGCCATGCAGGATATGCAGGCATGCTCGTCGCAGTCTTCTGGCTCAACACACATACCACCTATTGGACTCGGTCCCAAGCTGTGAGCCTGTACTGTAACTGCTGTATCCAGCCTCCCAGCCATCAGCCCACTCCTAGCAACATCCGGGTTTTGGACCCTGTGATGTTTTTGCTTCAAGCCTGCCGTGCGTACTGCAGGCGCTCCTTCGCATCGCTTGCTTGCAGTTCTGTCTGGCGGGAAATGCAACAGGTCAGCAACAGCCGAGGATGAGACTTGTCAGGCCCCTTCGATGCATAATTTTTATCGAAAGAGTCTGCCGTCCTTGATGTTCAGGAATTGTCTGGGGTGTCTGCAGAGGCTATCTTGCAGCAGGAGGCTTCTGGCATGCTCGAGTCACCCTGTCCCGGCAAGTCCTAGATCTTTTGCCGGAGCAGGAGACGCTGCCAAGCTCCCTCAACAAGAAGACGGATGAGGCGCCAAAGGCACTTGGGTTTTCATGGCCTTCTGGCTTCTCGCCGTGCTCTCGTGAGGATGCTGGTGGTCCCGTGCGCAGCTGGCGAGTGATGAGACTGGGAAGGGTGCCCAACGTCTCTGCCGCGGCAGTGCGTGCCAGGCCTTTACTCTTGGAGGAGGAGGTGCGGATCTGCCCCATCAGCGGCTTGTCGACGCTACAGGCCAACGTCCTTGGCACTTGCATACCATACCTGTTTGCTTTCGTCGCGGTGTCGCAGGGAGCATGCCCCTTTGCCAAGCCGAAAGCAAAGGCTGGCAGAGCCCAACACCACGGAAGTATAAGCAAGAGTGAAGTCTGCAGGCCAAAGACGGGGGCAAGAAGCAGAGGGCCGCCGTGAAATTGGACTTCCAGTGGGAACAGGCTGGCGAAGCGTGGCTTTAGGTGCACGTCCTTTTTGTGCAGATCAGGCTGAGAGCCAGGTGACGATCAGCGTCCGCGCTGGCGCTCAGCCAGCTCCGTGCACCGGTGCTGGGAAGAGCTAGGATCGATTGCAAAAAGGGGCACATCCGACGGACGCGTTCGTGACCCTCGAGCTGCCGGATAGTGCCTCGCAGCAGGCCACCAATTCTGGTGCGGTGCTTTGGTCATATCCACAAGACCATTACGCAAATGGCAGGAGATAAAGCGCCAGTACAAAGCCCTGTCCCTTCGACACCACCCAGCGTGCAGCTTAGCCTTTTATTCCGGGGTCAACAATCGCAGGGTGTGCTAGAATTGAAGCCATACGGAAGGACAAGAACCAGGAGGATCCGGATGCAACTGACCGATTCCAAAGGACGGGCTCGAGCTCTCGAGCTGTACGGGCTTTTGCGTCTCAAGCTTACGGCTCAGGATCAAGGACGCATACCAGGCCCTCAAGGATCCTGAGCCGCTTCTCGCGCCGCTCTACTGCGGACTTGCTTTGCTGCTGTCAGGACACTGATGGCGAGCTTGCTTTCCCTTGGGCCGATTATCCCGAGAAGCAGCAGGACATCCCGTTGGGGGAGCTTTGGGAGCTTGCAGCCGGCCGCGACCCGACAGGTGATGCCAGGAAATGAAGCCATCGCCATCTTTGCAGAGGCGGCAGTGACAGGGTAAAGCAAGGAAGGAGCTTGCAGCCTTGCAGTGCCTTGCAGTGCCTTGCAGCCGCTGACCTGTCGGAGGTCGGACGGGAGGCCTGTGAAGAGCATCACTTCCAGGCAGCCGAAAGCCGAAAACAGTCTCGTGATGCCTCTGCGCTTCTACGCCTCTTGCCTTGACCCTTCACTACCGGGTTGACAGCTGCAGCTACAGTAGGAGTCGTAGGGGTGCGGAAATATGCGGTCTGGGTAGTGGTTTGGGGTCGGGGGCTGTCAAAGCATATCGGGCCGCTAGTTCCTCGGGGACCCCAATGCCGGCCACTTAATGAATCCAGAAATGTTCGGGCGGGCCGAGTGGCTGCGAGTCTCGAGCGACCCCCAAGCCCGGCAGAAAGAAAGACAAACCGAAAACGAGAGAGCCTCTGCATGTGCATGTGTGCGTAAGTGGTCGAGGAAGGTCCAGGGATCACGAAAACTCACGAGCAGTCGGCTTGCTGAACCCCTTCCAGCACATGAGCACTACCAGACTGCATAAGCATGAAATTCAATCGTCAAGCTGGCCAAAACCCCAATCAACATCGTCGCCATTCATTTTGCGACAGTGTGGCCACACCCGCGGACGCAGCGCCGGGATGACCCGTAGCGCTCATGAGAGTCCGCTCTTTCCCGTTCCTCTATCTTTTTGCACTGCGATCTGCCTGCTTGACACGTGCATGCAGCAATGTAGCGAGAATGGAGTGGAGGCGACCTTCGGTCCAAGCAGAGTGGGGGCTTTGGGGGCTTTGGGCCCTAGCTTTGCAGGGCTTGCAGCTCCGGCATCTCGTGAAGTCCTCGAATGTGCAGGCCTGCATGGACCTTTCATGGCCAGGGTACAGAACCTGGCCTGTCAGGTGTTGAAGTTTGAGCGAGAGCTCGAGGAGGGGCGTGTCACAGAATGCGAACTTCAAGCCTTGTGTGCGGTGCCCAGAGATGCCGAGCCGAGACGGTCGCATGCCGCTCTGCGCAGAGGTACGGACTCGTCTCACTTCGTAAATCACCTGGTGAAGGCCGGGCGTCGGAGTTTTGGACCCTTGCTTAGCAAAGCACTTCGAAGACCCAGGTCCATCGGCGCGTGCGGGGCTCGGCTAGCGGCTAGCCCTCCCCTGCTTTGCAATTTGCAAGCGACGGGCAGTTTCCGCAGCGCTCTCTCAGGATGCCTGGGAATTCCAGGAAAGTTAGCCTAGCAGATGCGAGCAGATGCTAGCAGCTGGCCGGCCACGCACTCGCCGAGCCGGTCTCGTTTCATAGCGTTAACGAGCTTGTGACCCGACCTGTACATACCTTGAGAGCAAGGAGCTGGGACTCGCAAAGGGTTATGATCCACAAGTTATGTTGTCCTTGTGGAGCACACTCGGTGCTTCCGACTTCCGCTGCTTCCCAGCTTCCGGAGCCGGGAAACGGCTGGCTCCAGACCTCAAGACGTCGGTTTGCTCGCATGTCTTTCCCAAGATGATGTGTGGATTTTCGCCGCACCGGCCCTCCCTAAGTTATGGTTGTTCAGACAAATGATATTTCCGTGAGTTGGTATGAATGGAGTTGAACTGAAGCGCCCCCCATGAACTCTCCTTGCAGGCAAGTGGGTGGAAGTGAAGCCAGCCACGCCGGCTGCACTGCTTCAGGCAGAACGGCCATGCATGCACCTCAAGACGAGCGACGACCGGGTGGGTCGGTCAGGAGATGGCAAACTGCCTCGACAGATCCTGCTCTTCTGCCATCGCCTCTGCTACGCCTGCATTTGACGGCCGCTACTGCAGTGTCTCCGCTCTCTTTGGGCTTTGTGCGTCGTCCTTGTCGTCATGCCATGCCGCCAGCAGCCCCAAGCGCTCGCTTTTGGTTCTCGGCAAGTTGAGGCGGAGCTGGATGAGATGAGGAGTTGCATGGATGGCCAGGGCCAGCCGCCTTGGCCTCAGAAGAGATGCGAGCCTCCGAGCCAGCCATGGAACCTCTCAAGACTCTGCAGGCGGGATGCACACTACACGTCAGGCGCGTCAGGGGCGCAAAGGAAGAGCCACAGTGGAAGCAGCTGAGCCGCGTTGTCCCCACAGGAGCTGCCAGCAAAGGGTCACGTGCCCAGCTCTCTCGCTCTCTCGTCTCTCGACTGGGCCCAAGAGACTGTGCGAGACCTGGTGAGGCCTGGCCTGGCTCGACGAGGCCGATCCGGATCCGGATCCGGCGAAAGGCCAACTTCCAGGCCGCCTGCAGAGCCGAGCGGCGTGGATGCGGATGTGCTCTCCTCCGCTCCTCGCCAGGGCCGTTCCTCCGGCTTTGCCAACGTTGCTGGGAAGCGCAGCCGGTCTGGCACTTGACGTCATGCTCAGTTCGTGCTCAGAAGTCCGCGTTCCAGGTCAAAGGGTCGGCGCGAAGCATCATCCGGTGCAGAACTCTGTCTTTGTCTCTTGTGGAGAGGGGTGGCCAGGGATTGGCAGATGTACTGTGCAGCCTCAGGGGCTGGTCAGTGTCAGTTCCTCCGGCTTTAGTTACTAGGACTAGGATCTTCCTCCCGAGAACACCAAGCAGTCACTCTGCGAGGCTGCACAACGATACACACTCGTTCCGCGATCCGCTCGTTGGACCGCCGTGACCATCTCGAAACAGGCGAAACTAGCGGACCCTCTGACTACCCAAGAACAAGGACCTTGACAAGGGGTTAAGAGCAAGGGCAAGGATCGAAATTCGAGCCTCCAGCTCTCGCTTTGTTTCTCTGCACCTTTGCAGCTCCCGAGAGTTCCAGATTCGGAAACTCACTGGCCTTTCGTTTGGAGACAAGACCTAGACCGAGAAAGCGGCCCGTCGCTTCGCGAGGTGCCCCCCGCCGGCTGCGGCTGGCCGGGAGCCATGGCAGCCTCAGGCTCGGCAGCAAAAGCCTAAGCCCCAAGCCATCCCAAGCCATCCCAAGCCCAAGCCCACCCCGCGAGCTGTTGGCCCAGTGGCCTAATTAGTGCAGGTCCCTTCGCAGGAGATCCTGGAGCGATCTGCAGAAGTCCCCTCAGCCATGCGGGGGCACGCCTTCCGGAACAGCATGAAAAGCCTGGCCGAGGTCTCTTGGCATCTCCCATGAAGGCCAATCGGCCAATCCATCTGTGCAAGTGCAAGCTTATTCTCCTGCAGCTTCGATTCGGAGTGGGCTCAGCGTCAGGTCGCTTGTGGAGGTGGCTACTTTGCGCCGAGGGTCGCAGAGGACTCCAGCAAGTGCCACGGGTGGTGCCTCATGTCTGGAAATGCTTGATGCTGCACAGGATGGATTCGGACTGCCGACCTACATGTCTCCAGAGGCAGTTTGCCACAGCCAAGACGACTGATGAGTTGAAAGCTCCATGAGAGGTCTAAACCCAGTGTGCTGCTTGAACCCGAGCCTTTTCTCTGCATGCTCCTGGCACGCAACGCCCTGGGGGGCGAGGGGGGTGCACGTAAGAAGCATTTGAGGTGGACTCGCTCTGGGACGATGGATTCCGTGGGACGGTCGGGGCCTCTCCAGCAGTTTTCTACGCCTGTACTGGTACCAGAGGTCCAGTTGTTCTTTTGCTCCAGTTTTGTTCTCAGGCGAGGAATCTCACTGTGCTGGCATCGGTGCCGGCCTGCGTGGCTCTCTCAAACAGAGCTGCCGTGTGGTGTCGCCTTTTCAGCTCTTGGTAATCACAGGTATGCCTGGGTTCTTCAGGCCTTGTGACAGCAGCGCTTCTTTAATATCTGCATGAATTCGAAACAATTCAGGTAGGTTTTTCGTTGCAGCACAAGCTCACATGGCCAACAACTACCTCGAGGGACCAGATAGCGGGGAGTGAATATCTAATCGGCATGATGAGCTGTAAATGCCTTCACCGGGGAAGTTCTGTGAGGAAGAGACTGGGAGGGCGCGACAGCTAGCTTCGTCCGGGACGAGCCCGTGACAGTACGAGAAGATTGCTTCCGCACAGCAGTTTCCTCTACGGTGCATCAGACTTTTTGCAAGCTAGTAGACGTGGTGGGTGGCCGTGCTCCAGCGGCGTGGCCGCCTGCCCGAGGTGTAGTCTTAGGAGGCACGTTGCCGTCGCAACTGCCTGTCGCATTGCGGTGGATTCTAGCAGCCCGGCAACACTACAAAAATATCGCTGCAGCGAACAGCTGCACCAGTGCCATTTTCTGAAATGGATAGCCCGGTGCCACGACAGAAGGAAATCAAGAAATCAGAGGAAGTTCTCGTTCCCTTCTCGTGCACACCTAGAGGCTTGCAGACTTAATTCGGATGAGGGCCCAGGCATGGAGGGTGCTGGCCAGATCCTGGCCAGGCCGCCAGCCGCCCATAGATGCTAACGTTCACACCAGAGAAAAGGTCTTGCAGTCTTACAAGATGCATTCTTTACATTGGCGGGAGCCGTCACTGTTGCTGCTTTGTCCTACATCTCGCTGCATTGCGGGTGCCAAGCTACTTGAACACACTTAACATCGAAGTAGCCTGGACGTACCCTTTATCGCAACCTGCCTGCCTGAAACTGTATCGGAAATTATCGGAATGCATCGGACACAGTTTCAGCTTGCTTGCACTCTTGTGCAGCCATGCCGCATTGGCGACATCCGTGACAGCGCCTGCGGCTCTGAGGCAAGGAAAACGGATCCGCAACAGTCTGTATGGGCTGCCACGGTGGCCTCCATCGGATCGACAAGAGGTAGCACCCTTGGAATCCTACCCGTCTCTGAAACTCTACTGGGCTTCGCAGATGGCCGCAAGCCGTCCAACCATAACATAGGACTGCGCTGAGGTGCAGACCCCACTTGGGATCTATCTTTCCACTTCTCTTACAGATATCATCGTTTCTCCATTCTTCTGCATCTCGCGTTTCTATCGAACGAGAGCACAGCATCAAGTCTGGGGTGTGTGACGGCCCCACATTCGAGGTTAAGCGGGGTGAGCATCCGCCTTATGACATCTTGTGACCCCTTAGCGAGAACACACGCATCGAACTGGATCTGAGCAGGGTGGATGGGGCAGCTCTCTCAGAGCCGCTGAGAGTCACGTTGCCCACGCGTTTTAGGCGTGGTTTGGGTCGTCCTCGGCTTTTTGCGACACGCTGAGGTGGCAGAACCTGAGCAGCTCCTTGCGGCTCTGGGACTCTTGGCGAATCGAAGGGAAGGATGCCCTTCGAGTTGTTTGGGAGGGCACTTGAGGCCTTGAGGAGGCTTGCTCTGCCTGCCGAGGACACGAGCTCCAAGGCTGTCGGCGAGGCTTTTTGACCCTTTGCTACTGCACCGACGGAAGTCGAGTGCAGTCTCTGTAAAGGTTGAGGCCGCAGCTGAGGAGCTGCTTGCCAGCCCGTGGCTCATGTTCCAGGCTCGCCAGACTGCCAGAGAAGTTCTGCTGTGCTGCCATGAGGTGGCAATGACGCGGAGGCAAGCCCTCTTTTGGGGGGAGAGACTTGGCAGGAACCTGCGGCCCTGCGGCATCCTGCGGCATCCTGCGGCCCTCGAAGGCTTTGCAGCTCTTTTCCGAGGCGTTGGATCCGTTCTGGCCCCATATCCGCCAGACGTATGGCCAGCACAGCGCACTGGTTTGACTGCAGTGCACTTGTCCCAAATGAACAAGCTCAGAACAAGAGCATGTGAGGGTTATGGCTCGACCGTCACTCTCACCCTCGGCTGCATCGACTTTTGCTCGGGTCGTATTCGAAAGGTCGCTGCAGCGTGGGACTGACTTCCTCAAGCGCCTCGTGTGGCTCCAAGACTGCCGCAAAAGCAAAGCGCCACTGCGACATGTGCGGGAAGTTGCAACCATTTCCCTACATGCCTGGCCGATCCAACTCAACTTGCCAAACGAGCTGGTAGACTGAAAGAGACAGCTGCAGAGTGCTGACGTTAGCCACAACAATCTTTGCAAGAGGATGCGATATTAGCCGCTGCAAAGCACTTGTAGAGAGCTAGTCCAGGACATCTGACTTTTTTTTGCCTCCAACCTCATCTGTGCAATCATGCCGGATCCCTTAATGGAGCGTGTGATGGCCGTGTACAAGTGCGGGGCTAAGCAGAGCGAGCAGAGCGGTCCTACGGTGCTCAGAGCCAAGTCTCGGTCTGATGGCCGATCACGAAACCCTGTGCCTGTGGAACCCAAACCCGAGCCATTGCGAGCCTCAAAGGGAGAGCTCACTGTTAGCCACACTTGAAAGCTTTCTGGACGGAATCCTGAGCCAGAAGAAGCGCTGACCTTCGATTCCCTTGACAAAAGTGGCGTTTCGAGGGACGTGGACAAGAATGACGACGGCTTCTTAGACAAAGACGAGCTAGCCGCAATGCTTGATGCAGTGGGTATGCCCAAGGATCGGATCTGGAAGGTTTACAGTAGATTGCTTCGGTGGGTGAGCGTCCATCCAGAGCTTGGTCTAAGCGGTGGACTGTTGCCATCGTTGTTGCAGTTCATGCGAAGCGAAATTCCTCCAAAGCGGTCCAGGAGCGGGCGCATGCGCTCTTCGACGCCGCCGACGTCGACCGAAGCGGCACCGTCGACTTCGAGGCCTGTACCAGGCAACTTGCTGGGTCAATGCTGGACGCACGAGCCATGTGAGGAGTTTTGCACGTGGCTGTTCTCAGATGTGTGGCTTGGCTGAGGTTGCCTAGAGTTCGTGTGCAAGGAGTCCTGATAATCCCAGTCTGGATGTCGGCTCGGCCGAGGAAAGAGCTGATGGAAGTTTGCGTGAAGCAGGGCGAAATTGTGAATAAGCACCTGAAGCTGGAGATGACAGTAGGTGACGTGCTCTGTTTCGGTCTTGATGAGCAGCTGGTGCGCCTTTCGACAGCAGCCAGGGAGGGTGTGTGCTCGTTGATTTGCTTTGGAGACTTGTCGGTCGATGCAGTGCATGTCAGACGAGGCAGCCAGTTCAGATATGAGATCTCCGTGGAACCAACTGCCGAGACTGTCAAGCACCTTGAGTCGAGATCGAAGCTTTATGCGGACGAAAGGAAGAAGCAACAGCTCGATGCGTTGGAAAAAGGCATCACGGAGGCAAAATCGAAGCTGGAGGCCGCAAAGGCGAAAGCCGCGAAAGCCAAGCCCAAGGATTCCAAAGATGCCAAGGACCCCAAGGACGCCAAGGCAGAACCCTCGCCTGAGGAGGCCGCAGTGCTGGATTGCGAGAGGAAGCTGCAAGCGGCCGAGAAGGCCAAGGCACGGACAGAGGAGACCCCGCCAGAGCTCCAGGAGGCGCCGTTCCTGGACAAGGCCAGGCCGCCAAAACCTGCACTCAGCACATTTTCGGCCTTCGATTTTCCGCCTTCCGCTGCGAGGTCTTCGACAGCCTGGTGGCCGTGGACGACATCTCCGCAGGCGCGGTTCCGCCGCGGCACGGCCTGGACCTTCCTGCCTTGCCGGCTGCTGTGCAAGCCCTGCGAGGCTCTTCGGGTGCGCATGTGGTAAAATGGAAAGCCAAAGAGGAAGGCATGGCCACGGTGAAGCATGGTGGCATTCAAGACTCCGTTGAGGCATCCAGACTTGATACTTGAAGCTTTCCAAGGAAGGTCCTGCAGTACTACACTGTTGTGCTGGCCTCGTGAAGCTTCGCCTCTTGCTTTGCAAAGCACAAGCTTCCGAGGTCGAGGGTCCGGACGACAAGGAAGTGGAGAAGGCGGCTGAGTCTCTAATCCTCTTTTGCCACAGGTCTAGGGTATCGTCGCGGGTGGAGGTAGAGACCTTTGACTTCACCGTTACTGTAGTCCCTGCTGGCTCCGGAGCGGCGTGCCGCAGCCGCATCAGACACGACCACGCGATATCACCTACCTTTCTAGATATGCCCCTCATCGGGGCTGTTTCAGTCAGACTCACATGAAAGACCGCACCCAGGAAGGCAGACTGGTACGCTTGGAGCTGGTACGATGTCAAATGGATCAAGACACCAGCCAACAAGGCTGGAAAGCAGCTCGTTCGACAGTGTCAGATGTCCAGATCGCCCCGTTCCTCAGGCAGATAAGTTTGCCAAGAAGATGGGTCGTGCTGCCAAAGAAACCTGTCTGAATGCACATTGACATGGTTCTAGGAAGATGGATTCATGTGGGTTCTGAATCCCAGGAGCTCCAGTGGGTCCCCTCTGTCTTCGGACCTAAGAAGGAGAAGCTGCTGCCCGGCTATCTCGAATCGAAGCACTTGCAGCGTTTTAGACAGCGAGAAGCTCGTGAATCACCGAGGCACACTCAGCTTACCTATTGCTTCAGTCCGAAGAATGTACCAAGTGGCTGAGCTTCGGAGGCTCCTAGTGGTCAATAGCATGGTTGAAGTAGCGTCTCACATTCCATGGGTCCGCCGCAAGTGTCACAACGGTTCTCTGCAAATGCAGAGCAATCCGCGATCAAAGTGCAGCTGGGCTCTGGAAACAGCAGCGACCCTTGCCTGAGCCGGGCAACGACAGCATGGGACAGCATTGGAGGCTCAGACCGAGGGGGCCAAATGTCGCTGCGATGCTGTTTGGTATGGCGACACGTGGCCCCGGCCTGGACGTTACCGGCCCCGGCTTGGTTTAGATTTCTCGGCCAGGATTGCCTACGGCTGCAAGACCTGCGGCTTGGGAGCCTAGAGTTTTGACGCCTCGAAAGCTCTCCCAAGCTGCCATCAGCTGAGACAGTGTTCTCCTGAGGCCTTTCCTCGGCCAGCTGCATCTGCGTTTTCTGCTTCGATGCCGAGACCTTTGTTACCCTGGCATCATACCTGTTTCTCCTGTACACGGCGAGTGGTTGCGAGCAGTTTCACAGTCAGTTGCTTTGTCGTGTAGCTTAGGGGATCTTCGTCTGCTAAGGCCGGAGACCACGAGGGCCCGGCCTCCCAAAGGGCCTCGCTCTGAATGCTCAAGTGTTGGGGTTTCGGCTGTAGGCCACGACTTCTACATCTCCCGTGCAGCGTCTCAGAAAAGGATCACGTGTCATCCATGAAGGGCCCAGGCCCCACAGTGTTAGCGGCTTGCTTTCAGGTTCCGACTACGGGTGCTGCGACTGTGGCGATGTGGGGAGCCCAGAAAGGTGGGAAGTTGCTGGCCAAGCGCATCTGGCCGAGGCCTATGCCTGGCGACAGAGTGGCTTCTGCCGACACCACCCTGGCCCACGGGAAGATTCAGAGCCTTCGCACGCACAGAGGGCAGGTCCAGACGTGCATCGCGTCATCGCGGGCTCTCATCACAGATGCCAGTATGTTGTTTCTTTAGGGTCAGTGTCCAGCTCTTTGTCGCGTGTATGGCAGTGTTCGCCCTGTCCTGTTCCACACCTTTGAGCATAAACCAGGCCTGCCTCCTTTGGTGAGCCTTCCAAGCCTCGCCCCAACCAGCCGACCCGCTTGACCTTGTCATCCTGTCGACGTTTTCCCAAGGATCCCGCCCAGCTGCTGCCGGAAGCCACGCGCAGACGAGCACAGCTGCGACTCCTGCTCGCTTGGTACAGTTGGGATGGGGATGTGTAAGAGGAATACTAGCAGCTTCACCTCCAGTCACTAGCTTAGTTTGGAGTTTGGTCTTGGTTCTCCGACTTCACTGGGCTTGCGTGAGACAAGGACACGGACAGGCAACGGGAAGTAAGAAACGCAGGGTGCAGGTGAAAGATCAAAAGGGATGCACTAGATAAATGCACCCTGGTCCTAGGTTCTCTTTTAGTCAGTGATTGGCAAGCATGAGGTATACCAACAGGAGCACGCGAATATCTGAGCATAAGACGTGAAACTAATACATCCGTGAATTCAAGAACTCGGCAGCTTCATCTCCTGAATTCACGGTGCCGACTTGCGGTTTTGAACCGGCTGACCGAAGGGCGCAGCAGCGCTTCCTACCCAACGTCATGCAAAGTTCGTAGATACTCGTTGGTGCATGTGGAGTGCGTTAAAGCACATGTGAAGCCTTCTAATGCAGCAAGGCTTATTCCTGCACAAGTTCGGCGGCTAGTGCTGTCCACAGTCGTTGCGAGTGTTAAGCGTGTGGATCTTTGAAGGCATGCCGTGCCGCCCGTGCCTTATAAGGTGAACTTTCATCCGAGCGTTCTGCCCGGCGTCGGCACCCGAAGCAAAGCTTCGGCTCGCGGCTCGCGCTTGGAGCAGTGGCCCTCAGCTGAGGTCGACCCGCCACCGGTGCCGAGCAGAGCCCTCGGAGCCCGGCACTCCTCTCTCTCTTGGGGCAGCCTTATGCGGCCTGCGGATGCCTGCGGATGCCTGCGGATGCCTGCGGATGCCTGCGGATGCCTGCGGATGCCTGCGGTGCGGCCTGCCGGAGCCGTCCTGTGAGAGGCGAGCCTCGCCGGACCAGATCCGTTCGCATCACAGTTTCGCGCAGACTTGCGGTGCGCTTCGCTGTGCCTTGCAATGCATCGCCTGGCGAGGCTTATTCGGCGTCGAGCAAAGGCCTACCCCTGAGCTCCGGGGATCTCCGGGGCTCTTGGGCTGACGCAAGTCGACGAGCGTGCACGAGGTACCTCGACTGGATCCCAAAGCTCTCGAGCAACCGACGAGGCATTCGGACGGCTCCCAAGTCCAGATGCGACGTTTTTGATGGGCCTTCACAGGATTCCCTTCGGGTCTTGATCACCGGCATCAACCTCCGAGTGACGGAGGCACTTCGGTCGCTCTCATCACTTCGCATTCTTCCAGACGTGCAAAGAGGAGCAGCTCCGCGAGTTTCTGGAAAGCAAGCTGAGCCTTGGCCTTCCGGCGGCAGAGGCGCCGCGGTGTGGCCTCGCAGATCGGAGACGCAGGCCGCAGGCCATGCAGGCCGCAGCCGTTGTTAGGTCGCCACGCTTCAAAACTTGGAGTTACAGCGAGACCAGGCCAACGAAAGAAGGGTCTGGGTTCAGTGATTCAGATGGGGCTCAGTGTTGGAGCAAGAGGACAGCAAGGCCTCCAAGGGGCGAGCCTACATCAACATGGCCTCCAAGGCAACGCTCTCGTCCGTCTGCTTCTTTCAATTTGCAGCTATGACTGTGCTGGATCCTCTGTAGCTTCGGTTCGAGTGCGCAGCAACCACTGCACTTCCGTGCTCTCAGTTGCGTGTCGCTCGAGCCCCGGGCATGGGCTTTGCCAGGAGAGGCTGTCCTTAGGTACGGCAACGGCGGAGCTGGAGCACGATAATACAATGATCCCTGATAGCGACGAAGTTTCGTTTTGTGAAAATGTTGTGCTGGACTGTTGAGGCCATGCTGGTAAAGCGGCTGAGTGCAGCAGCCGTCCTGCCACAACGTGGTTCTGCAGCCACTCAGCCAAACCTAGTCGAATCGTGAGACAGAAGTTGCTCTCGGAGCAGTTTGCTGAAACTTCAGGCAGCAGCTGGCTTTGACCTGTCAGCTGCAGAAGCGACAGTGGTCCCTGCCGGTGGCAAGGTTGGGATCATGACTGCTTTCGACATGTCTGTCTGCTGGGTGCAGCAGCCAGTCCCAGGGCGTCGTCAAGACCGGCTTGTCTATCGCCATTCCAGAGGCGAGGTGACTCGACGTTGCAGTGAGGGTGAATGCATGCCTGTCGCCTCTCCGCAACGGAGCATGCATAGCCTTCATGGCTTGGTTCGATGAGTTGTGCATGGTCAGGGCACCTACGCCCGCGTCGCACCCCGCTCTGGCCTTGCCGTCAAGAAGATGATACTTGATTGCAGTGATTGCAGGCTGCCGGTGTTGCGAGGAGCCGCCTTATTGCAAAAGCTTGTCGAGGATCCAAGCTGGAGCAGGTGTCGTGGATCACGATTATCGCGGCGAGGTGGCGCGTTGTATTCTCACACCTCGCTTTGCTGAGTGGCGGTCCTTGCAGACGCTGCAGGTCGGCGTCGTCCTGTTCAACCACGGCACTGAGGTTCAAGCTTTCGCATGCCCCTGGGTGACCGAGCCCTTCTGCATCTGCGTCCTGTCAGGACTTTTCTGTCGCCATTGGGGACCGAGTTGCCCAGCTCATCCTTGAGATGCAGTGGCTGCATTTATTCATGGATTCACGTCTCTGTGCCGGGCGTGGCGATTTCAACGGTATCTGCGCCTCCGAGGAAAATTAGCACCGTCGGTTGCCACGAAGTGGAGCTTCTCGGCCGGGTTGTTACAAGGTCAGATTTGCACAGGGTTGTCATCAAGCGCAAAAACCTGAACACCACTCCTCGCTTTATCCTTTCCGTCAGCTGTGCCGTCCGTATTCTCCAGCTCCGGCGGACTTCGTGGCTGCAGGTCGCTGGACGAGACGCAACGTGGAAGTGGCGGCTTTGGCAGCACAGGCGTGTCGGAGAAGGCACACTGGGCGGAAGGACTTAGTGACCTAGTGGTTCCGAACAACACACATGCCGCCAACAGGTTGAGGGAGGACAGAAGCGACCACTGGCGGCTGCGGTGGTGTCCTCGGTCGCTCTACAGGAAGGTAGATAGGCGTAGGATGGCGTAGGTTTGTGTGTGTGTGTGTGAGTGAGTGAGAACGAGGAGACGGCAGCTCCTGCGCTTGAGGCCGGGTTGTCTGGGAAGTGTTTGCTGGCAGAGAATTACATAAGCATGGAATTTCGCTCTCCCAACGCGGTGCAACCAGCCGGAGGCCATGCTGGTAAAGCGGCTGAGTGCAGCAGCCGTCCTGCCACAACGTGGTTCTGCAGCCACTCAGCCGAACTTAGTCGAATCGTGAAAAAGAAGTTGCTCTCGGAGCAGTTTGCTGAAACTTCAGGCAGCAGCTGGCTTTGACCTGTCAGCTGCAGAAGCGACAGTGGTCCCTGCTTGTGGCAAGGTTAGGATCATGATTGCTTTCGACATGTCTGTCTGCTGGTGCAGCAGCCAGTCCCAGGGCGTCGTCAAGACCGGCTTGTCTATCGCCATTCCAGAGGCGAGGTGACTCTACGTTGCAGTGAGGGTGAATGCATGCCTGTCGCCTCTCCGCAACGGAGCATGCATAGCCTTCATGGCTTGGTTCGATGAGTTGTGCATGGTCAGGGCACCTACGCCCGCGTCGCACCCCGCTCTGGCCTTGCCGTCAAGAAGATGATACTTGATTGCAGTGATCGCAGGCTGCCGGTGTTGCGAGGAGCCGCCTTATTGCAAAAGCTTGTCGAGGATCCAAGCTGGAGCAGGTGTCGTGGATCACGATTATCGCGGCGAGGTGGCGCGTTGTGGTCTCACACCTCACTTTGCTGAGTGGCGGTCCTTGCAGACGCTGCAGGTCGGCGTCGTCCTGTTCAACCACGGCACTGAGGTTCAAGCTTTCGCATGCCCCTGGGTGACCGAGCCCTTCTGTTTCTGCGTTCTGTCAGGACTTTTCTGTCGCCATTGGGGACCGAGTTGCCCAGCTCATCCTTGAGATGCAGTGGCTGCATTTATTCATGGATTCACGTCTCTGTGCTGGGCGTGGCGATTTCAACGGTATCTGCGCCTCCGAGGAAAATTAGCACCGTCGGTTGCCACGAAGTGGAGCTTCTCGGCCGGGTTGTTACAAGGTCAGATTTGCACAGGGTTGTCATCAAGCGCAAAAACCTGAAAACCACTCCTCGCTTTATCCTTTCCGTCAGCTGTGCCGTCCGTATTCTCCAGCTCCGGCGGACTTCGTGGCTGCAGGTCGCTGGACGAGACGCAACGTGGAAGTGGCGGCTTTGGCAGCACAGGTGTGTCGGAGAAGGCACACTGGGCGGAAGGACTTAGTGACCTAGTGGTTCCGAACAACACACATGCCGCCAACAGGTTGAGGGAGGACAGAAGCGACCATTGGCGGCTGCGGTGGTGTCCTCGGTCGCTCTACAGGAAGGTAGATAGGCGTAGGATGGCGTAGGTTTGTGTGTGTGTGTGTGTGTGTGAGTGAGTGAGAACGAGGAGACGGCAGCTCCTGCGCTTGAGGCCGGGTTGTCTGGGAAGTGTTTGCTGGCAGAGAATTACATAAGCATGGAATTTCGCTCTCCCAACGCGGTGCAACCAGCCGGAGGCCATGCTGGTAAAGCGGCTGAGTGCAGCAGCCGTCCTGCCACAACGTGGCTCTGCAGCCACTCAGCCGAACTTAGTCGAATCGTGAAAAAGAAGTTGCTCTCGGAGCAGTTTGCTGAAACTTCAGGCAGCAGCTGGCTTTGACCTGTCGGCTGCAGAAGCGACAGTGGTCCCTGCCGGTGGCAAGGTTGGGATCATGACTGCTTTCGACATGTCTGTCTGCTGGGTGCAGCAGCCAGTCCCAGGGCGTCGTCAAGACCGGCTTGTCTATCGCCATTCCAGAGGCGAGGTGATTCTACGTTGCAGTGAGCGTGCATGCATGCCTGTCGCCTCTCCGCAACGGAGCATGCATAGCCTTCATGGCTTGGTTCGATGAGTTGTGCATGGTCAGGGCACCTACGCCCGCATCGCACCCCGCTCTGGCCTTGCCGTCAAGAAGATGATACTTGATTGCAGTGATCGCAGGCTGCCGGTGTTGCGAGGAGTCGCCTTATTGCAAAAGCTTGTCGAGGATCCAAGCTGGAGCAGGTGTCGTGGATCACGATTATCGCGGCGAGGTGGCGCGTTGTGGTCTCACACCTCACTTTGCTGAGTGGCGGTCCTTGCAGACGCTGCAGGTCGGCGTCGTCCTGTTCAACCACGGCACTGAGGTTCAAGCTTTCGCATGCCCCTGGGTGACCGAGCCCTTCTGCATCTGCGTTCTGTCAGGACTTTTCTGTCGCCATTGGGGACCGAGTTGCCCAGCTCATCCTTGAGATGCAGTGGCTGCATTTATTCATGGATTCACGTCTCTGTGCTGGGCGTGGCGATTTCAACGGTATCTGCGCCTCCGAGGAAAATTAGCACCGTCGGTTGCCACGAAGTGGAGCTTCTCGGCCGCGCTAGTTCACCAGACGGGGAGCCTGAGCCGCCGAGTTGCATGAAGGGGTTCCTTCAGGCAAGCAGGACAAGCTACAAGCACTGTTGGGGGTCGTGGACTTGCGGCATGACGGCTTCGGCGTATGCCGCTGCTGCTGCTGCCGCCCTGTTCTTTGCTTGCTGCTGACTGCTGATGGCTATCGCTGGCGGGCTGGTCGTGTGCAGTTCCGCTGCACTCGTTTGACAAATGTCATCCAGTCATCCTGTGCAAGAGTGCACCAGTGTCGAGGTCTTTGGACGAAACGCAGCGTGGATGTGGTGGCTTTGGAAGCACAGGCGTGTCAGACAAGGCAAGTTAGTGGGCAATCGCCTTTCCCAACACGTTGGTTGTGTTATGCCAGCAGTCGCTCAGCACAGGTGGCGGACCTCAAAAAGCAGAAGCTAGATGAATTGCCCGCCCCGGACAAGGACCCTCTGACCCTGGATGGATGGACGGATGCATGGATAGTTCATTTCATTCATGCGCGACCTCTGCCTGCAGCCAGGACCAGAGTGCTCATCCTGCTGAGCAGGTACCGGATGTGCTTCATGTGCGAAGCTTTGCGATTGCGAGCAATTGCTTTCGTAGGTGTGCCGGGCCGGAGCATGAGCCACAGACTGAGAGGGGCGCAAACCCTGAAAGGGTTTGCATGGGGTGCTCTCACCACACGAGCCTTTTCGGCGCAGTGGGGCAAGCCTGCGAGCGCCTGCATGGGGATCTTCAGCGAATGTGGTGATGGAGCTGGAAAAGGCTTGAAAGGTTTTGTTTCGCATCTGTGAGCGCTTGGGCGCTTGGTGCATCGGTCAGCGGAGCGACAGGCTGGAGTGACAGCGATAGTTAATGCCAGCGGCGAAGTGCTCCGTGGGCTGCCAAGTGTGGAAGTTACGGCAAGAAACGATTCCACTGATCTGATTCGATTGCCTCGATTGCAATTGCAGCAAGGTGGCAGCCCCTTGCGAATGCACGTGGGCCCATCAGCGATTGCTGAAGCAGAAAAGCATCTACAGGTTGGGCGACCTTTGCTGTGACCGTCTTGGCTTTGTGGTGTTGGCATCCTGGAAGGCTTTAGAGACCAATTTCGAATGGCTGCTGAATTTAGGTGGCTTTCATGCGGAAGCCTCTGCCAGCTGAAACTTCTATTGCTCCTTGCCAACGCCTGCATTTCAGGACGGTCTTCGCAAGATCATTGGCCAGGCTGCGCATGCACTCCTTGGTTGAAGGAGCGAAGGTGCGAAGCGCACCATCTCGAGGTCTTTTTGGACCGAAGGCTTTTTGTCCAGGCCGCTGTGAGCCGAGACCATCCCCACTTTGCCTGACAGTCAGTGTGACAGGGCCAAAGTGCCGTGGAGGTCTTGCTCAGGCGCGCATGAGTCTTCCCATGCAGCATGACTTGGTCTGTGCCCAGTCGCGATATGTCGCGATCTAAGCCAGGCATTCGCACTTGATGGAGCCCTCGGTTCGCAAGCTTGAGTTGAGGGCTCAGAAAGCGGCCTTCGTCGTGCGTCCGCGTCCGCGTCTTCTCAGCCTCAGCCCGGCAAGCCGCCTTTTTTTAGGACCAACCTCATGGTCGATCTCATGCTCGACCTGGATTTCAAGCACCGCTTTGCACAGGCGCGCCAGCAAAACGAGTCAGGCTGAGGTTTGGCTGTGGCGGCCTGACAGGTGTTCACCACACTCTATCCGGAACTGGTGCGCAACCGGGAGCCAGCCCCACTTTTCTATTCGGAGGAGTCTGTAGCACTGTAGCCGCAGTTGCACCAGTGAAAAACTCAGGAAGGAAATCAAGACACAAACGAGATGGGAGCTGAGAGTGTTTTCCAACAGTGGCTCCAAGTGAAGAGTTTCCCGTTCCCGCAGCCGGCCAAGGCTGGGAGATTTCACTTGCCAGATCTTCACCAGACAGGCTGCGGCATGCTGCCGGGACCTGCAACCCTTATTAAGGGCGAAAAAGACCTTTCCAGGATGTTACGATGGAGCTCGTTCGCGACAGGGACCTGGTGAAGACATTGTCTGGGTCCTACTTGGCATGTCGGGTGTCTAGAGTCTAACTGCATTACATACATCGCTGTCATGAAAGCTGATGGAAGCATTGTTTGGTGTTGCCATTTTGTGGGAAGATCAGGGGCGCATGCCCGCAAGTTAAACCGCTCTCCGCTTCCCTTGAACAGGGCTGGGCGAAAGACATACAACTTGCGAAGCAGGCGCAATTTTCACAGTCTATGCCAAAGTCCAACGATGCTTGTAGATATCATCCTGTGCCTAAATTGGTCATACCACTCCAGTTGCCTGCGGGGCCAAGCCAAGTGCACCTGTTGCATAGCATTGCGTCATGCCGCCCTCTAAGTTTTGATGCTGAGCAGAGTGCTCCAGGCAATGTGATGTCCCAATTTGGGGCATAGGCTAAGCCAGAGCTAGTGTAGCATGGCATGTGCTGCTGCGCCAAGTCGATTTGTGTTGCCTTGATCCTAAGCCGTCTGCATGTGAGCCCGAAGCTTGGCAAGGGCCTTGAGTTACGCAAAGGAGCTCGGCTTGAGCACATCGATTCTCTGTCGTTGGATCACAGCCCTTGATATGCAGCGTGCCATGCACCCTCCGAAGTCTTGCTCTGCGGTGCAAGGCTGGAGTGTCTGTGGGGGCTGCTGCGCCCCGCGCGCTGTTCTTAGCTCCGCGGTGATGGTAGCTTATCCGTGCACAGGGCTGAGCTGATCAGCCACAACCAAGGCTTCTCAGCGACTCTGCACCGGCGGTCTTCAATCACGAGTCGAACATCTTCCGTGACCACGAGATCATTCAGCAGCATCCTGCAAACAGATTGCCAGATTCTCTTCTGCTCGCGGAGCTCCGAGGTGTTCGATGGATCTGTTGTATGTGCTGGATCACTCGGACATCGCGCACAGCTCCTAGCCCTCACTTGAAAGCGCAACATTCACCAGCGGCTTCCTAGACTTCTGCTGGTGGCGGGTAGCAGCTAGCATCCGCTCGCTAGGAGGGAGATCATTCGATCGCCGCGCCTGAGCGGAGAGCTGTGGGCTGGATGGATCCAGATTCTAATATCCATGCAGGCCAGCTTGGGCTACCGGTCACATACGGAGGCTGCTGGATGCTCTCGCATTTCTCAGTTCGAGAGGCAATGAATCCGCACAAGCGCCGCAGCGTCAATCACGTGGAGTGCGGGCCTAACACCGGAAAAGCGGGAATGCAAGAAGTTTCTGCAGATCGCAAGTGGACCTGAGGTTCACCAGCCCCTCCTGGGGAAATGCACTCACTCTGCACACAGACCTTGGGCTTATGCCTGAGTTGCTAATTGCCCACGCGCTTGGACGAGATGCAGAAGCAAGAAAGTTGAAGCCTGTGTATCCCCAAGCCACGAAGCATGCAACAGTGTTCCAACATGATAGCTGCGACTGTAGCCCTTCGCAGTTGTCTTGTCTTGGTCCTGCTGTCTCTCTCATACAGGATGGTTCAGCATGGTGCAGTTCACAGAGCAGATACGACTGATGCCACACAACCGGAGACTCTTGAAGTCGTTTGTCCTGACCTTCTCAGTCTCACCGGGGTCATCTCGATCAACGCGCAATCTCCAGGAGAAAGCCCACACAGTTGACTGTACTCTTCAGGTCCAACACCTGGCTCATCCTGGATGCTATCGAATTCAAGGCAGCATGCAGACGTTCGACAGCTTCCGGTCGGGAAAGAGGGGACGGAAGCATTCGCGGGTGTTGAAAGGCTGAGCTCGAGTCAGTGAAAGACATGGCGCAAAGCTCCCGGCTGCGTGTAAAGACTTCCACGAATCGGGCGATACAGGGTGTCGGGCGGTGAGTCCAGGCAGCTGGCTTGGCGCGAGCTGCGCAGTTGGATGGTGCAGGCGCAGCATGAAACAGGGACGCTTTGTGCACTGCGCAGTGCGGTGGTGCAGTGGTGCAGTGGGAGGTGCACGCAGCCGAGGGCCGCGTGCTCGCCTCGGCTACCTTGCACTCATCCACACTGAGCTCCCCGCGCTCCGTGCCAGGTTGGAGCCGCTGCCATGGAAGGTGCTTTTGATTACGAGGCCCGTCGGGAGCCGATGTGCCAGCATGTGCTGACGGCCACCCTTGGAGCAGTGACCTTCCGTGCAGGTATCAAGAGGCACCAGTTTTCATGTTCCGGTGAACCGGGCCTGGTACTTGGAAGGTGTATTGGGCTTCATCTGTGAACTCGTGGCGCACGCCGCTCGACCGGCCTCACTCAGGTCTTGGCCCTCTTGCTGCACCAGCTCTGCATTCGTGCGGTGCTCAGAAGACACTCCACTAGAGCTTCCACTCCCAGACTGGAGATGGTGATTGATTAGTGATGCGTTCTGGAGGCTCCCCGCCATACTGATGTTTTAGTGCTGCGTTTGAGAGGGATTGTGGTGGGCTTCCGCTGCAGGAGCTCCGAGGGCGCGTGGTGACGGTAGTTTGGTGGAAGAGGCCTCCTGAGCAGCTCAGCCCGGCGGACTCTCGGTTGCGAGTGGTTGCAAGTCTAAGTGGAGGTGTTCCGCGCTGTTGGAATGTCGGCTGAGTCCGACATCATTTGGTGGACTGGGCCCCAGTGCAAGAGTTGGACATAAAGACGTGGAATGATGTGGCGTGTGCTTGAGGAACGGTTCGTTTCCATGTGGCGCCTAGGATGGAGCACCCTCTCAGGGCGTTGGTCCTTCACTGGCAGGTGTGCTTCCCTCTGCTTTTTTGCACTGCTTCTTCTGCTTGGCTGGTAAGTCATCGAAGCATACCGAAAGCAAGGATGGCCGGCATGTGGCGTCGAAACGGAGAGGCCAAAAGAAGAGTTACGGACGGCAGGAGTTTGATGACGTCGCCAGAGGCTCTCGAGCACGAGAGTGAGTTCTACAGGATGAACTATTGGCTCACCGCTCACTTCGGGTCTCCGCCAGTTGGCACGAGCTTTGACTTCCGAGGCACCACCTGCTCATCGACGTGGATCTCCTGGTGATGCGCATGGCCGCGCTCGCTCTGAGGCCTCGTGACAGGTCGTATCCGGCTCCTAGACTCCGATAGCGACGAAAAAGGCCGGAGACCTTCTTCCGAGTGACGTTGAAGCGGCCCTGGTCTCGGGCTTTTCGAGAGCACGGGGAGGCTGGTTTTGGCAAAGTGTGCCCAGAAACAGAAAGGTTTGAGCTTGGCCACTGGCTGCTCCCTGGAGATCCGATGGGGAGGCTCAAATTGGAAATCCGCTAGCAGTGCAAAGGCTCAGGCATGGAGACGTGCTACCAGGCTGCTTCTCGGCGAGGAGCCGGAGCAGGAATTCCGAATGCTGCTTCGGGCGACAGCATGACGACAACAAGCTTGCAAGCACCGCCTGGCAAGGAGTTCGCCATGATGAAGCTGCAGAGCTTCGTGCTTTTGTCAGCGGCTTTGACTGCTTCTTGAAGGGCAGGGGAAGGAGTTCGGTTCCAGTCACCAAGCAGAAACTTAAAGGCAAGCATACGAAGGGAGTACTCAGCCACTTGCATTCACCGGGTTGGAAGCTGCAGGGCCAAGCAGGATCTGTGGCAGCATAGGGGAGGTCTCAAGGCTCGGGTTCGGCCGTACCTCAGCGCCCCCCTTACTGCAGCTCACCAACGCAGATTCAGCTTCGAGGCAGCAGAAACGTGCTACAGGTCCTGGTTGTTTAGTTTGTTGGGCACAAGAGACCCATCCAGCTGGCCGTGCCTGTCGCTGAGTTTGTACCAGCTGCTCAGCTGGAACACTCACCTTTCGCTGACCTGGCCGCAGCTCGTGACACATACGACCAGGTGGGCAGAGATCCTGGCCATTCACAGCGGGTCTCGTGAGAGAAGCAGTGCAGGCAATTCCTCAGCGTCGGTCCCAAGAGCCATTCGCAGCTTTGGGATCCTCGCCTGGAGCGTCTGAAAGCTCAGAGAGAGACAGGGAGAGCACTCGATGCGCAACCGAAGAAACTCCGACTCGTTCTCCCCGTTCTGTAAGGCTCTACTGCCACCGCGACTGCCAAGGACCAGCAGATGCTGGACCCCTCAGTGGGGCGTTCGTTTTCTTGTAGGTTTTTCTATTGATGGCATTAGGTTGGAGGCCGCGCTGCGGGAAATCAGCTCCTTCTCTGAAGCCGATGGCAGCGGCCACAACCCTGCGAAGTGCCCCACACAGCCCGCACGCAGACGGCTGCCCCTCCTGAAACGGCGAGGTACCACCTGAGGGAAGACCAGTGGCTTGCCTCAACTTGCGAGCTCGGCTTCTGCTTTGGACCCTGGCTCCATGTGCTTCAGTTCAGGTGGTTTGCCGTGGACCCCTACTACCATCTCTTCGCCTGGAGTCCGATTCTTGCTGCTCCCCGCCTGTCGCTCCAAGCCGTGCAGCAGCAGCTCAGGTGAGCAGCAGAAGGTAGAGGAGAACTTGGTCGCGGCCATGAAGGCTGGCTGAGAACGGCGAACCGCTCGCTCAGCAGCGCGTGACAGCTTTGCTCTCGAGTTCGAGTGCTCTCACTCTAAGCGAGGCGCGCGGCGGGGACCTGTCGACCTGGATCGAGGAGCCAGCGAGCTCAGCCACTGCTCGCTTGGAGAAGACTCGGCGGTTGAGGTTTCGGGTTATATCCGCCCTCCTCCAGAGGTCGGTGCGGCTCCAGCCACCGCTCCGTGAAGCTTTCCGGCTGCCGTTCTTCCGATGGTGCACCTCTGGAATGGCCCGCGGCCTGTGCAGCAGAAGCAGCTCGTTTCGAGTCCTCTTCGCACTTCCGCCTCAGTACAGGTCCAGGCCTTCTGCTGGTTGCTGTTGGTTCGCCTGGCTTTCCTCCCCCAAAAGGACAAGCTGACACGCCATCGTGTTCGAGCATGTTCAGCTTCCACAACCGACACACTCCAGGACGTGTCGTCCGATGGTCGACTCCTCGCAGCTTGCCTAGTTTATGCTCGAATTTGGCACAGACGTGGGCAGTTGAGGCATCGAGGTTTTCGTAGATTTCCAGGACTCGTGCAGTCGTGGATTGTCATGCGTTGGTTTACTTTCAGCACAGCAATATCACTCTTGTTTCTTGGCTACGACTGTCCTGGATTCCTCACACGATGACTGCTCCCTGTTTTCCGACTGGTGCCTCCTGTCCTAGGCTGACTTTCGCAAGACTCCTTGAAACCTGAGGTGCTTGCCCTCCTCCTTGCCATTCGTGCCTTGGATGCCGTTGCGTTTGGCAACCATGTGGATGTGTTGCTCAGCATCGTAGCAGGTTCCACAAATGCTGAGGCGCAGAATTTTGTTTGGGATTTTTGCAATCGAGTCACTGGCGGTCGCGTCTGCCACAGGAGATCCCACCGTGCGGGTTGTCAGATGTGGACATGGGGGCGGCGGTGGCCTCAGCCTCAGCTTAAGTTCAGCCATGGCAAGACTTCGTCTTGGGAGGTCTCGCCGATTCCTGGGGAGGAGGTGCAGCTCACCTGGCTCGCCAAGGCCTTCGCATGCCTTCCGGGCTCTGGGAACTCTCCCTGGCCCCGGTGGCGGGGGGGGTTGGGTGTTTGTGGGGTGACCAGATGTTTACATGCTCGAACTGCGACAGAGCGCGGCGGTAGGGGAGGTCTCAGCGTGGAAGGGAGTAGAGGTGAGCAGAGCATGCACTCGGACACCATCGGCTTGGCTGCGACAATCTGTGATAATTTGTGGTTTTGCGGTGCCTCCGTGTCTCTGGGAATCATTGCTCGGCATCATTCCAGACCGCTTGAACAGGTACATATTTGCCAAACTTGAATGGAGACCCTACCTTGGATTTTGGCAACGTGAACCAGAGTAGGTCGAAAATCAAGTTTGGGACCTTGGGTGTAGGGGATTGGAGGTTCATCGTCGGAGGATCAAGTTCAAGCCATGTAGTAGAGAAGTTGGGCGGGTTCATCATTGGGTGGGTGCACCGTCGACGATGACGTGTCCAAGAACTTGGGCGTAGCGAGTGTGGGTGGTTTATCGTCAAGAAATGTAAGAGCTTGTCTTGGCAAGGCCGTGACCCCTTTGTCCCACACCGCCACGCGCAAGTTCTGCGTGCAGGTGCCTCTTCGCTTTCCAGATTCCTATAAATTCGTGGTATTTTCTCTGATGGGGGCGTTTCCACCTTATTCCGGGATTGGTCAGGTGACGACAGCCGGCCCTGCAAAGGCGGCAAAAAAGATCTGACATGCTGATGCTCAGCGTCCAGCCCGTGACACATCTCGGGAGTTGCTAGGCTGAGCTGAATGTGTCGTTGATGGATGCCGCTGGGATCTGAGAGCTTGCGGAAGCTCGCCAGAAATCAATTTGGTCGGCGACTGCGATCTGCTCAACGACCAGGTGGACAGGTTGGCGGCGGTGGGGGGGAACGTCTCGAGCAGTTTAGCGCCCGAGCCTCAAATCTGCTTTTGGAGTAGCCGTAGCTTCCGTCGGCTTCCTTCAAAGGCGGGGCCTTCGGCAGCGGCTGCAGCGAGAAAGGGCGGTGCCAAGTCGACGGCTCGGCGGAGGGAGCACGGGGAAGTCAACTGACTCGGCTCTGCTGAGGCTCGGACAGCGCCTGCCATGGTGACGAGGCAGGGCACAAGACAGGGTTTAGGGCCATACAGGGCCTTTAGGGCCCCTGTTCGTGTCTCCGGCTCGCTCGAGGACCGCAAGGCTAAGCGTCGCAAGGCTGCGGAGAGGCAGCAGCGCATGCTGGGGCCTCGGGCGCCTCTGCTAGAATCTAGAAGTTGTGAAGATGTGTGTGCATGCGAGAGAACAGGCTCGAGAACCTGCGAAAGCGCCAAGCTGCATTCATCTCCGGTGTCGGGATCTTGGGATCTCTTGCTTTGAGGAATTCCGGCCTGCAGTTCGGTGTGCGAAAGAGTTGTTTTCGAGGCAGGACGCGATTTGCTGGAAACAGACACCAAGTCGCAAGAGCCCTTCGAGAGTGCAGAGGCGACTCCCGACCATGTGACGATTTCTGCCTCGGACAGGAGCAAAACGGTGTGGATGCTGAGGCTGGCTTGGCTGGCATGGAGGCGCAGGGCATCTCTTGCACATCCTTGCATCTCACCTGCACCCTGCAAGCTCCGCATGCTGCGCCTTGCCCAGATGTCTCCTGCCGAGTGTGTCGTCTGCATGTCGCACCAGGACGTACCGTGCGAGTCAGAGAGAGCCTTTGGAGCCATGGCGGAGCGCCGCGGCCTGACAGGAAGGAGAAGACTCGGACAACCCGCTTGGACTCATCTGCTTCCTGCGACCTGCGGTGGCCTCCTCCGTGCAGGGCAGCTCAGCTTGCCACGGTACAGATGGCCTGAGGGATCTTGCGGTGTGAGGCACTAGATTAGATGTGGTCAATTCCGCTCATAGCTGCTCTCAGCCGCTCTAGGCCCAGATCCAGAGCAGGGAACTCATCGTGTTTTTCCCTGCGCACGCACCCTCGGGAGTCCACGGATCTTGCGTCGAAGTCGAAGTCTAGGTGCCGACGGAGCAAGCGGTCCTGCTCCAGCAGCCGAAGACCCCGGTGTGTGGCCCGCCAAGGAGGCTCCTCCCACCTTGCACCGCTAATTTCGGTCTTTTTGAGGAGTGTGCGGTGGTCCCTGATCACCGGGTGGTGAGGCCGCAGTGCTTCGAAGCGCAAGCGCCGGATGGACTCGTCCGGGGCCCACCCCTGGAGCTGACGGCTGCCACAGCTGTCACGGCGCGTGTTGAGGTCTTGGCTCGCGCTTGCTCGCATCGCATGCCCGGTGCCCGGTGCCCGCAGAATCCGGAGAGCTCAGGGCGGGACAAGGGCGTTCGTGGAAATAGTGTCGAGTCGAGGCACTTCTCCTGCTGGCGGAGCTTCCGTCCAGCATCCCTCCGCTCTGGAGGCCAGGAATGCAAGATAATGCAAGTACAAGTATGACCTGCAAGGGGACCTGACCTGACTGAAGCAGATTCGTTAGGCGCCAGGCCAGTGGTCCATCTCATCTCCCGTCTTAAACCATCTTGCAACCGACAGTCATTTCCTTTGGCGTCGCAGTCTTCATACGACATTCACCAACTTCGTACGACTAAGTAAATGCCTGACAATTGCAGATTTGCAGGTGATCGGATCTCGTGTGTGCTGCCGAGACGTGCAAGTCACAGGCAGTCTTACGAGCAGATGCTGCTCAAAATGATGGTCTCAGGCCCCTACTGCGGAACCGTAGCCAACGCCTTCCTGCCGGTTCCTGCCATACGGGAACTGCTTGCCTTGGGTGATGGAGCGGTGCTGTTTCGCTGATGGGAAGGTCGGAGACATCGGAGAAAGCGCCAGGTTCCGCCTGCCACTCCGGGCTGCAGGAAACCTTGGACTGTGCCGAAGCCTTCTTTGGCCGCCGAAGAAGCTGCAGAGCTGCACCGACAGGAGCTGCAGACGAAGCCGTGGAGTTCCCAATTCCACGCCGTCATGCAGATGCCACTCGGCTCGGAAAAATGGCAAGGACTAGTGACTAGTGCGCTTTGTTGATTCTGGTTCAGTGTGAGGCATCGGATGACTTTCTTGCTTGCTTGGAAGGCACACGCTCTTCACCATACGACCCGGCTTGCTCTAGCTAATTGGTATGATCGATCCAGGCCAGCTTCGGCGCCTTGGCCAACAGCATACTCAGGCAGCCTGTCTTCCGGAGGTGCCGCGCTAGGCAGCTCTCGTTTCAACTTTGCTGAGTTTACGTGTGGATTCGTCAGGCTCTTGGTGCTGCGCCTGGAGTGCGTGAGCCTCAGCTCCGTGGCTATGAGCCATGACTTTCGCTTTCTCCACTGTTTTTCGAGGGCCGGCCCAATGATGTCCCTTAGCAAGCTGTGCGCAGACAGCATAGCTTTGGCAGAGGCGACGCCAGTACGTCCTTGCTTCGTTCGAGACCAGCAGCCTTCGCAGTCAGGTGCGATTGAGGACGCGACCTGCTGCAGCCGCGGCGGCCGGAGCTGCGGGCTTAGCGGCTTGGCACCCGGGCCGAGCCACGACGGAGCCACGTTGTCGCGTGCGGAGGTTGAGGCGTCCCGGGCGGCGTCCTCGGCATCCTCGGCCTCGGCTTCGGCGTCCTCGGCCTCGAGGACCTCGCCTCGCCCCCTGCCGGGCCCTGCCGCTCTGCCCCTCTTCCCCTCGCGACCTTCGTAAATCCGAGCGTATCCATGGCGAGGACGCTGGATGGCAGCGAGACCTCGGCTGCTGCGCGTTCCTGAAATCAGGTTTACATGTCGTCAGATCATCGGGAGCGCACTGGGGTGCGGTGTGCTGAGGCCTCGATGCTTCGTGGTATCATTGCCGAGGCCATTGATGCTGGAATCTCGGATGAGAGAGCTGGAGTTTCCTGCAGCTGTTTCTGCAGAACATAAGGCCACACCGCCACTGACGCAGGCGGCCAAAGTCTTGCATGCTCTTACGTGGAGTCACGATGAACACAATGCAGCTGCGACTCTTGACTAGCCACGCAGCGTTGACCTTGTGATTTTCCTCAGTCGATTTGCAATTGTGGGCAGGTTCTTTAGATATATGATACGTTCCATTGTTCCACGTCGTCTTTGTTCGAAGTGCCGGCTCGCACATGCACGCACGGCAGGCAACATGAATGACATTCAAGCATGATCTAGGACTGCAACAGGCGAGATCATATCTGTAGAAATCAACAACAGGGCTAGCCCGTCGATCACTTTTCGCAGAATCTGCTGAAGAAGGGATGCGACTGTGTGACGGACGTGACGGGGTTGCGCAGGTGCTCGGCGGTAAACTGGCGCAGGCCTCAAAGTTTTCCGCGCATGACGCAGCGGTCGTGGGCAAACCGGAGTTTTCAGTAGGGTCATCAGGGCCGCCAGCCCCTCCGAAGATCTGGGCTCATGTTTGCAACCTGAGAGCCTGAGAGCCCTCAGACCGTTGCCCAAGGCAACCTTTCTCTTGTCCACAACACCGCATGGTCGCTTTCAGACTTTGACAGCCTTGTTGCTTTGCCCAGCTGGCTTGTTTGCAAGAGTTGTCGGAGAGTTGTCGTCCTTGTGGGATGCCAGGTCTCTGCAAGAATCGTTCTGCGTGCCAAGCTTCTGAGCTGGGCCGTGCAAGGCTTTGAGACGAGCACCTGCGAGTCACATGCGACACTGGCAAGCGCCAGGCAGTTGGTTCATGGATTCTACCTATTAGAGGCTGGGGGCGGGGTTGCTGATTCGGGCCCTTGAGAGAGACGCACATCATTTGGCTGACTGCGTTAAAGGCGGTGGTTGTCCTTTCTTGTCTGTGCGATATGGCCTCAGTCAGTGTTGCTGTGCCCTGCTTTTGTTTATAGTACGCTTGCACCTACACCCAGGATGACGCACTGATTGAAGCAGGTTTTCATCAAGCTTCAGGCCCCTTTAGATCAGTTGCGGTGCACTTCTACGGCTTTCGAGACGACCACCTGCACAGCGCGGCCAGATTGAAATAAAATATCCTTGTGCAGCACAATGGCAGGACATGCGGCTGAATCCGAGAGTATTTGGAGCATGGCCACCTCCCCACAGCAACTCTGAGCGTAGCGACTAATTTTTACGTTGGTGTCACTTATGGAAGTCAGGTGCAGACCTTGGCATCGACTGGTCAAGGTGGCGTGCCTGATTTCAAACTTGACGGAATTGCTATTTCCATTTTTAAGTATTGCTTGCAGGGTCTTACAAGTTGTTGATACTCTCACTTACAGCGTTCAGTGCGGTGTCTCATGTTCGACCTAGTAGCAAGGATCTTGCCACTTACTCTCTCATATGAGCATGTGAAGGCCATATGAATTCACATGCAATGTTTCAGCTTCGTCATACAATCTCGGCTAGCCGGCTTGGCACACAAGCCAGAGCCCAACAAGGGCAAGGAAGACTTCAGTACAAGTGGTACAAGTAAGAGGACTCCTGCAGAAAGTCGATAGGCTGCGCTGCGAAGACGGCAAGCCGTGACTTTTCAGGAGCCGATCAATCAATGCGGCTCACTCCTATCCGGACCCTAGCAGAGGCAGGATGACCAGTGCGTGCCTATGCAAGATGTTCCAAACTGCTCTTAGTCTTCCGGGTCTGCCAATTCGGAGACTTTTTGAAGTTTATCTTCGGAGTTGGTGTACCCCTAAGACACGCGGGAAGTGACTTCATGTTGTGACATGTTGCTCCCCATAAGGTGCTCCCTCTTTTGACATGTGGGAAGTGACTTCATGTTGTGACATGTTGCTATTGCACGAGCATGAGTTGCAGAAGGAGTATCTATTTCGTCTTCGTGGTTCCGAGGGAACAGTCCCTGCATGCCTCGTAATCAGGCAGCCAAAGTGCTGAAGCTCGTCTCCGCTCTCAGCTTTGCAACGCAGTGACGGCAATTGCTCTCCCTTTCCATTTGGACTCTCTCCCGCTCTCTCTCTCTCTCTCTCTCCCTCTCTCTCTCTCTCTCTCTCTCTCTCTCTTTGCCTCTGTTACTCTCTCTGTCTCACGTTCTCCTTCTCCTGCGCTGGCTTGATCGTGGTCTTGCTGCACTCAGGCCTTGAATCCCTTTCTGTTCAAGGTCCGGATGTTGTCAGATTCTCAGGGTTCGGTCACCCGCAGGATTTAGTTATTCTGACGCTTGTCGCCGTTTGTGACACCTTTCCATCCTCTTTGCCCAGTGTTGAGTGGACCCACAGATCGAGGCTTTATCTACTTTCACCAGATAACTTTCCGTTGGCTGCTGAGAACGTGGCAAGTTCGTG